TAAAAAAAATAAATAAAAAAAATAAATAAAAAAAATAAAATAAAATAATTATTCACCGAATTGAATTTTTTGAATTTTAGTTTTTATTTATTTTTTTTTTTTTTAAATATTTGCAGATTATTAAAAAAAAAAATGTAAATTAATATATTTGGTAATAAAATTGGTGGATGTGTCCCAAAATTAAATGGTTAATACAAAAAAAAAAAAATCCTCCATTCAATGAATGAAATTATAAGAACTTTTATTATTTTCATTTTTTTTATATTAATTTAGGATTTAATTTAAGGATTGATGCTATTTATTTTGGAAAAGTTAATGATGTCGCTGTTTATTTGATGTTTTATTGTTTGATTTATTTTTAAAAAATGGGCGAGTGTTCCTAAACAAAAAAAAAAAAAAGATGCAAATTTTACAATATTCACTTAATGACATTATTTGAATTTGTAATAATATTTGCAAATTTTTAATTTATTTTTTTAAAAATCTAAAAATATATTGAATTTAGATGATAACAATCTGGGTTTGTAAAGTGGGTAACTGACATTCTCCAATATTCTCTAAAATATTTTATTAGAATACTCGTTTACCTTTTGATTTAATTTGGTAAATATTTAAAATATACCATATATATTTATTTCAAAAAATAAAATTCTTTTAATTTATATTTTTACATTCAAAAAGGAAATAAAGAATATTCTCCTAGAAAATATATTTTTTTTTATTATTTTTTTTTTTTTTATTTTTTTTTTTAATTATTTGTTTTTTTATAACTTTGGAATTAAATAAAGCTATTGTATTTATTTATGGTAGTTCTAAGTTATATGCTAGCCACTCTTTTCTATACCTATTATTATTTTCAGATCTATACCTAAATGATATTAAAATAATAAATAAAAAGATAAACATTATATTGTTCATTAAAAAAATTAAATAAATATTTATTTTAAAAGAAATAAAGTTTTTTTTTTATCATTTGTTTTATGGACAAATGGGTTTTTTTGGTTTTATTTAAATATATTTAATATTAGTTAGGGGTCCATTTTAATGTACCAATTAACAAATATCTTGAAGGAATTGGGCCTGGAGCTGGTGAAATAACGGTAATTTTTTTTGTTTCCATATCGATATCATTTCTATATAAAAAAAAAAAGGAGTTAGAATTTATTTGTGATCAAAATTTACTTGTTTTTTTTTTTTTTTAAAAAAATAATATTTACATATAAAGGAAACCAGCTACGTTTGTACTAAAAATATGTTGTGGTTGTTTTGCATAGGAAATTGCAACAATTGAGTGACACATATCTATACTTGGATAAACTTCAGAGATTGCAAGAGGATCAATTGAGGATTGTTGACCAATTGGTAATGCGGATGCAGGTGCAACTGGGCCTCCACCTGTTCTAAATATTGATACATCTTTAAAGTCTAAATATATATAATGTGGTGATAAACTATCATTTACACCATTAAAGTATTCTTTAATCTTTAACATTCTTGTTTTTTTTCTAAATATTGGAGTTCTTAAAAATACCTATGGTAATAATAAAGTAATGAAATATTAATATAGTTTTTTTTTTTCCCCAAAATAATCATTATACTTACACCACCAGATTTTGGTAATTTTAAAATTTTAATTTGTTGTTGTTGAAAGTGTGAATTTAAATCACTAAATAATTTTTCATTATCCATAACTATAATCATATTTATACGAAAAGCTTCGATATTATCCAATAAAACTTTATAACCTAAACCGTCAATCCAACCACAAGTATTTACAACGAAACCAGACATTCTAGTAGTTTCGGAAGCAAGCATCTGTTTATCTACAAAGGCAGCCAAATTTCTAACTAATGCTTTAAAGAGTTCTGGGTTAACATCCAATGAAGCGTGACCGTAAAAATGGGCTAATGGTACAAACGAAGACAAACCTTCCTCGATATCTATTGGTGATTGAATGTGTGATGCAGAAATGGTTCCTGGAATAGTTACTGAGTTTTGACCAGGATCCAAGTCTATAAATAATGGTTCATATCCTAAACGTGAACTATATGCTAAAAGTATTTTTGAAACTGATGATTTACCACTATCGGTTGGACCTACGATCATTACCCTTGGTCCACTTTGATTTGGATCAAAGTTATTTGATCTTGAATTTTCGATTTCTTGAAATACTGCTGAATACTTTTGCATGGGGGTTTTATCACCGATATAGGGTGAACAATTATTGGTGATTTCGATCTTGCATCCTGTCCATGTAAATACTGCCCCCTTGGTTGATGTAAGTTTATAAATTTTATTTAATAACAACTCTGTACCAAAACATTCTGCTGTGCCTTCAACTAATCTCATCCATCCTTGTTGGTCAAATTCAATTTCGTATCTTAATTCTTGATGTTTTTCTAAAGTTTTAGTTGAACTTTCATTGATTTGTGTTACATCTGTCATATTTGTAAATATTATTTATTATCCAATATTATCTAATATTATTAACTCTATTGTTTTATTTCTATTATTTGTTTATCTATTATTTATTACTTATTACTGGATGTATAAAATTATTTTAATTTAATTAAACTGAAAAACACAAGAAAATGAAAAAAAAATAAAAATAAAAAAAACTTAAAAAAATTAAAAAAAAAAAAAAAAAAAAAAAAAAAAAAAAAAAATTTTAAAAAAAAAAAAAGAAAAAAAAAAAAAAATTAAAATAAAAGGAAATATCCCGGATTTCCGGTTTTTTTACCTTTTGTTTTAGGTGGCTATTTTATATTTTAAAACCTTAAAAAAAAAACAAAAAAATTGAAAAAGGAGAAATAAAAAACAAATAATATTTGTTTATAAATATGAAATTTAAATATTTAAAATAAAAAATAAATTAAAATAAAAATTATCTATTTGTATTATTGGGAATGTTTAAGATTATATAATCCATATTTATGACAAAATATTTATGTAAATTCTATTCAATTTCAAAATTGAAAAAATAAAATAAATATTTTTTTTTTTTTTTTTTTTTTTTTTTTTTTTTAAAAAAAATATTTTTTAATTTTTTCAAATTGAAATTTTTTTTTTTTTATTTATTTTTTTTTTTTAGCGACTCACACATAACACCAAAACAGATATGTTTAGCAATTTTATTAGAAGATATTCCACCTCAAACAATAAATTTTCAATTAATGTATGTTTCTTTATCATTTTCTATATTTCATAAAAAAAAAAACATATTTTAAAAAAAAAAAAAAAAAAATTTTATTTTTTTTATTTTTTTTTGATCATCCACAATACAAAAATTTTAAAAAAAAAAAAAACAGAAAATTTAATATAAATAAATAACACATAAATAAATCACACATATAAATTAAACAAATAAATAAATAAACAAATAAATAAATAAATAAATAATCAAATAACATTTAATTAATAATAAATCAAATATAAATCAATGTAATAATAAATATAAGATTGAAATTAACAAATTAATTATTAATAATTTTTATTTTATTTTTTTTTATACAGTTAAATGAATTAATTATTGAAAAAACTAAAACCCCATTACCAAAAATTACAGATAAAAGTAAATTAGTTTTTGGTAAACAATTTTCAGATCATATGATTGAAGTACCATGGACAGCAGAAAATGGATGGGGAGCACCAAAGATTTCAGGATACCACAACCTTTCAATTCCACCATCAGCATCAGTTTTTCATTATGCTTTAGAATGTTTCGAAGGTATGAAAGCTTATAAAGATGAAAAAGGTCAAATTCGTTTATTCAGACCAATGGAAAATATGAAACGTTTTGAAAATTCAGCCAAAAGAATTTGCTTACCAACATTCGATAAGGAAGCAGTTGTTGAATTAATCAAGAAATTAGTAACCATCGATAAAGATTGGATCCCAGAAGGTAAAGGTTATTCACTCTATTTAAGACCAACTTTAATCGCCACTCAAAACAGTTTAGGTGTTGGTGCATCCAACAGCGCTTTAATGTTTGTTATCGCATCACCAGTCGGTCCATATTACCCAGAAGGTTTCAAACCAGTTAGATTAATTGCTGACGATCAATATGTTAGAGCATGGGCTGGAGGTAGTGGTGCTTTTAAATTAGGTTCAAATTATGCACCAACTATTTTCCCACAAATCGAAGCCGCCAAAAAAGGTTACTCACAAGTCCTCTGGTTACTTAACGATTACGTTACCGAAGTTGGTACTATGAATATGTTTGTTTTATGGAAAAATAATGACGGTGAACTCGAACTCATCACTCCACCACTTCACGATGGTACTATTTTACCAGGTATCACTCGTGATTCAATTTTAAGTTTAGCTCGTCAATGGGGTGAATTCAAAGTCAGCGAAAAGAACTTTACAATGTCAGAATTAGCTAAAGCCATCAAAGAGGGTCGTGTTAAAGAAGCTTTTGGTGCTGGTACAGCCGCTATCGTTTCCCCAATTAAATCAATCTCTTATAAAGGTGAAGAATACCCAATTCCAATTGACGAATCCATTCAATGTGGTCAATTAACTAAAAGAGTTTCTGATAAAATTTTAGCTATCCAATACGGTGAAGTCGAATCTGATTGGTCTGTTGTTGTTTAATAATTAATAAAAATATATAAATAATAATATAATAATATACATAAAAAAAAAAAAGGTATAAATATTTTTTTTCTTTTTATTTTTAGCTATAATACAAAAAAAAAACAAGAGTAATTTTTTCTATTTTATTTTATTTTTTGTTATCAAAATATATTTATTTTTTTTGTTGTTGTTGTTGTTGTTGTCTTTGATTTATTTGATCTTTTGTTTTTTGAATTAAAGGTTGTAATTGTTCTTTTTCAGCTAAAGCTTTAACAAGATTTAAAATGAATGGGGTAAAGTTATGTTTTCTTCTTATATTTTCATCTTTCCAATTTCTAAATTTCTCTTGTTCCATTAAAATATCATTGTTATAGTCTTGAATGTTTTCATTAATATCCATTAATAATTGATCTAACTCATCTTTTGAGTTTGGTAATTCTTCGTCATTAGCAGACATGGTTGCATCACCACCACTACCAATGGTTGATAGTTTTTTTTCAATAATCTCTTTTTTCTTTTCCAATTCTGAAATCTTTTCCTTTAATGTAGTTTGTCTATTTTTTATAACTGCCATTAAATTGAATCTAATTTCACCTTGACTATACTTTTCTATTCTCTTTTGAATAAATGGTGTTGCAACCTCTAACCAATTCTCTGGTGTGCAGTCGCCTAAACAATATGGACCTTCTTTTAAGCCATCCAATTCATAAACTTTTCCTTGAAATGGTATAAATGAAATGAAATGAAATGCATCTTGTGGTTTTTTGCTTTTAGATTTTGAAAATATAAATGGATCTTGTACTGTAAAACTATTATGTGTTGTTTTAATTAAATCACTATTACCAATGGCTTCACCTTTCATCTAATAAATTATTTAAAAAAAAAAAAAAGAAAAAATATTAGCAAATTAATTAAATAAGAAAAATAGAAATATATTCACTGATTTTTACCATTGGTGGGAAATCTCCAACAAATTGCTTAAAGTTTGATAACTCTTCACCAAGTTCAATACCTTCGGCATTTAATAAAACTGATAAAATAGCTTGAGTAGCACATGCATTTTGAATTACTTGATTGGCAAAAAATAAATCTTGATTATCTGAAATTTGTCTATTATCATCATCTTTTTCCCATTTGAATAAGAAAATTAAACCTAATACTGGTCTGTTACAAAAAAAAAAAAAAAATATTATTAATTAAAGATTTATTGATTATTATTGATTATTATTATTGAGTGCATACTTTAATCTATCATATTCGGATGAATCTAAGGAATATATTTCTTCAACTTGAATATCTTTAACACCAATTTTATCAATAAGCTCTGTAAAAACTCCTGGGTCACTTTCTATTGTACACCATCCTTCATTATCACCCATTATTTATATGTATATATTATATTTATTAAAAAAAAATAAAAAATAAAAATAAAAATAAAATAAAAAAAAGAAAAAAAAATTAAATTCTAAATTTTAAAAAAAAAAATAAAAAAATAAAAAAAAAAAAAAAATAAATAAAATTTAAAATTAAATTTTGATCTTCAATTTTTTATAATAAAATACAAAAAAAAATTAAATTTATTTTAATAATATTAAATTTAATATAGATGAAATTTTACATATAAATATAAATAAATAAATATAAATAAATATTATAGTGACTTTATTATTTTTAAAATTTATCGAGAATTTGAATGGTTCCACCTGAAAAAATTGCAGCAGTTGATGCTTGAGGTTTTAGTTCAGTTGGTTTTTGAGATTTTTTTGAGATTCTTTTTCTTTTAACAAGGAATATAGTTACTATGATTGCAGCCAAAAATGCTAAACCACCTACGATCGGACCAACTATAACACCCACATTGGTTTTATTTTTTTTTTTAGAGCAATCATTGGATGTTGAATCATTTGTACATATACACTTTCCAATTGTGGTATTACATGAGCCACCATTTAAACATTCACTTGAACAACTAATTCCACTACAATCAGTACCTTCAAATCCATTTGAACAAATACACTTTCCAATTGTGGTATTGCATGAGCCACCATTTAAACATGTTAAGGAGCAAAGAGCTATACCACAGTCAGTACCTTCGAAACCATTGTTACAAATACATTCACCAATTGTGGTATTGCATGAACCACCATTTAAACATTGACTTGAACAACTAATTCCACTACAATCAGTGCCTTCAAAACCCTTCATACAATTACAGGTACCTGTTAATGTGTCGCATTTACCTTCATTTAAACAATCGGCTGTACAGTTAATTACTTTTACACCTAAAATTACTAATGATTCAATGTGATTTCCAACTGTTTTGGTAATGGTTCTATTATTTTGCATGGATTCTTGAGATAAAGAAACTGAAATTTCATCCAATATGCTACTTAATGTTTTCCCACTACCTAAACTATTTAATTCTATTCTTATGCTGGTATCGTTTATAAAATTTACTGAAAAATATAAGTTGTTGATATTTGAATAGTTTACAATGAATTTGTCACCACTTTGAGGGTCTTTAATGTTCAGTTTGACTAATGTAATTTCACATAATGATATATTTGAATTAAAGTTGTTTTTAAATATGGCGTATATATTTGATTGTTTGTTGAATGGTAAAACTAAATTATTAAAAGTTATTGAACCAATATATTTAAGCCCATACAAAATGGTAGTTCCACTACTAACAATATCATCAAGTCCATCACCATTATAATCGCCAATTGAAACAGTTTTATCTTGTATATTGGAAATTTGGGCACCAGAGCAAGCATTTGATGATATTACTGAATCTGAATAGAGAATACCTGAGTTGTATTTAAATTTATTTCCAAATATTATTCGAGTTACTGGACCTCCACAAACAATATCATCAAATCCATCTCCATTGATATCTTTTAGTTTTGGAAAGCACCAATCATTATGATTTGAAAGATAGTTGAGGTTATCTACAACCGCAAGACCATCGGTACCGTCTATAGATGTATTTAAATAAACGATGGGTGGGTATTCTAATCTCCCAAAAGCCATATATGAAACATAATTACCAGCCAGATTTCTAGTGGTTATTATAAAATCTATTAGTGAGTCACCATTAAAGTCACCGGAGTCTCCTATTGCTAAACCAGAGTTAAGATTTCCGTCTACAATAAATTGAAAACCTAATATAAAAGAATCAAATTAAAAGTAAATATATTTTGTAAATATTTAAAATATTATTGTTTTAATAGAAATGACATACCTTTGTTTCCATCTAAAACTGGCACGTAGTTGGCAGGAAACCCTAATTTGGATCCAAAGATAATATAAAAATAATCACCAACGAAAATATCATCGATACCATCATTATTAAAGTCAGAAACTAAACAAAATCTCGAATCTAACCCTTTGATTGCAAATCCATTGGCTCCATCCAAGGTGGTAAGGTCAAAGGCGAATGATGAATCAACAGGAAATTTTCCACCATCAATACCATAAATAACAAATAAGCTTGGATTTGTACCCGAATATGCTTTTACACTTGTTGAGAAAAATAAATCAGTCAGTCCATCCCCGTTGATATCACCTGCACCTGTGTTGTAACCTAACATTTCTTTTGTTCCTCCATCGAGCGGATTAATAATAAAACCATTGTTACCATCGATAGTACTGAACGTAGCTGGCATTGGTTGGTCTGTTCCATATATAACATTTACTCTACCTCTTTGAGCTTGCAAAGTAGCGAATACTATTTCATCAAACCCATCATTATTAAAATCACCACAAATTGGCTCGTATGGTAATACAGGTATTGAAATAAAAAATCCATTAGTACCATTTAAAGAGGAAATTTGTGCTGGATATGTGAAATATTTGGGTAGTGGGCCATAGAATACATATATGCCAGTTGAAACCAAATTTATGAGGTCATCATATCCATCTCCATTAAAGTCACAACTATAACCATTTAAAATGAAAGTAGAAGAGGATGATGTTGTTTTGAATCCATTTGAACTTGTTACTTGGTTGTATGAACTGGGAAAAAATGATTGTGATAAAACTAAATTGTAATTAGTAACCGAAAAACATAAAATTGTAAACAGTAATAAATATTTATTTTTTGAATTTAACATCATATTTATAATTATAATTATAATTATAAAAAAAAAAAAAAAATATTTATTGTATGTATGAAAAAAATAAAATTAAAAAAACCAAAAGGATATTTTAAAAACCGACATTATTTTTTTTTTGGCATGTATGCTAAACTTTATTTTTTGTGATTTGTGAAAATAAGTGTGATACACAAAAAATAATACAAAACGGTGTTTTTTTTATTTTTTGGATATTAATAACAAAAACTGAGCACATCGCAAAAATAAAAATATAAAGATTATTATTATTATAATTGATTTTTTTTTTTTTTAAATTTTAAATTTATTTTATTTTACTAATTGGTTGAATTATTTAAATGATTCGGTGAATATGTGTGAAAATAATAATTACTCTTTGGTAATAATTATTATTTTCACACATTATCCACAGATTGCAATCATTTTGATGGAAAATTTCGATTGAATTAGAAAAAAATAATAATAATGAATAATATTTTAAAAGATATAATGTATATTATATAATTATTTAAAAGTACTTATATTATTATTTCTATAAAGCGACATCAAAAATTTAATTTAAAATAAAATAAAAATAAATAAAAAATTTTGGTTTTTTTTTATTTTATTTTTTTTTTTTATTTTTTTATTTTATTTTTTATTTTTTAATTAAATATTTCATTTTACATATAAACAATGTCAAAACTAATTAAAATTGGTCTTACTGGCGGTATTGCATCAGGTAAATCAACCATATTGGGATATCTTAAAGAATTAAATATTAAATGTATTGATGCAGATAAAATAGGACATAGTTGTTATCAAAAAGGTAGACCATCATATTATAAAATAATTCAAGGTATGTAATATATAAATAGCTAGGTGGAGGGATAGTTAAACAAATAGATAAATATAAAAAAGATAGTAATGATGAGTGGATGGATGGATGATTAATGATTTTATTGTTTTTATTAGAATTTGGCGAAGATATTGTAAATAAAAATGATGAATCAATCGATAGAGCTAAATTAGGACCAATTGTTTTTTCAGACCCAAACAAAATGAAAGCTTTGACCAATATAGTATGGCCAGAAATGAGGGATATCATCTCTCAAGAGTTTAAAGAAATGGAAGAAGCCAACCAAGATAGAATTGTAGTATTGGAGGCAGCAGTATTAATCGAAGGTGGATTTTTAAATTTAGTAGATAGAGTTTGGGTAACATCAGTACCAAGAGAAGTAGCAATTGAAAGAATCGTTAAAAGAAATAATTTATCAGAAACAGATGCCGCCAAAAGAATTGATTCTCAACTCACCAATGAAGAAAGAGCAAAATATGCAAATGTTGTTTTCCATACAAATGATGAATATAGTGTCACTAAAAATAAAGTTATAAACGAAATCAAATCTTTATTAGAGGATACTAACAATTCATCAAATCAAAACAACTAATTCAATAAACATTAATATTATTACCTTTTTTGTATTATTTTATTTTTTTTTTTATTTTTTTAAATTAAAAAAATTTTATTTTTTTTTATTTTTTTTAAAATTTTTTTAAAATTTTTTTTTTTTCATTTTTATAAAAACAAGTAATAATATGAATTTATAAATAACTATAAAATAATAATAATAAAAATAATAATAAATAGATAAATAAAATGTTTTTATTTAATTTTGATAATGGCGATCCAAATCGACCATCATTCTTTGAAATGTTAAATCAATTTCAAATGATGCCATCTTTCAAACCAGCATTAAAATATATATTTACAGTACTTTCACAAAGAAACCCAAAATTAAGATATATTGTAAACTATTATGATGAATGTTTTTATTCATTATTGTTATTGTTAGAATATCATTATTTAAAATATTATGGTAATTATAAATAGAAACAATAATACACACCACCCAATACAGCTTATTAATAGTCTATTATTTTTTAGAGGGATCATTTTCAGAAAATTTTTATAATTTAAAAAGAATCAAATCATCAAAAAGTAGCAGTGTGGATGGTGATACAGTATTTTCATTATTAAAGAGATTGGTAGTTACCCCAAAATCGGACCATGATCAACCAGAACTATTAACTAAAAGTCAAATTTTAAAGAAATCATTCGCAATGCTAAGAAGAAATAGAGCAGCATCAGCAGCATCTTTAAAAGAGGATCATTCAATTAAAGATTCAGATAGAGCAGAGTCATTAATTTATTTAGTAGTCATACCATACATTAAAAGCAAGTTGGATGAGTATTACAAAAAAGAATCAGATCCACTAATGGAGTTGGGTCTTTACGACGAGGATAACGATGACCATGAAAGAAGAGTATCAAATGGCACTATATCGGATCAAATCGAAAGAGAAAGGTTAGAATTGGTAGAGTTGGATCAAAAGTTACAGTTACAGCATGAAACTCGTTTAAAAATATATATTAGGTTAAAGAAATTAAAACTACGTTATTTATTATTTAAAAGACTGTTTGGAAGTTCTAGTATTTTAAAGAAATTAAAGACTATATTCCTCAAGGTTTATCCATTTGTCAATGCAATTTATGAAGCTTTATTTTTTATTTATCAACTATTATATCTATATGAATATACAAATTATTATACACCATTTTTCCATTTACAAAGTATACAACTGAAAAGATTAAACCATAAAGATATTGTAGGTTTAATAATAATATTATAATATTATTTTATATAATTTATTAATACTAATACTCTCTCTCTCTTTATAGGAAAGTCACAGGGCAGCTATTTCAAATAGAAGAAGAGATAGAATTAATTTTGTTAGAGATTGGTATGGTGCACCATTCTTTGTACCATTAGTATCAGTTTTAGATTCAATTTTAGATTATTCAAAATATATATTACCATTATCAGTATTTATATTTAAATCATTGGAATGGTGGTATAGTGAAAATAGAATAACTGCACCAACATTACCAATTCCAACACCACCAACACCAGCAAAGGTAAATAGTTTTATTCATAATAACTATAGTTATATTATTATTTTTTACTAATGTTTATTCATGTTTGTTTTTTAGAGAGCACCTGGTGGTTTAGAAATACCAAAAGATAAAAAGCAATGTCCATTGTGCTCAAAAGAAAGAACTAATCCAACCATTTGTGGTAGTGGTTTTGTATTTTGTTACCCATGTATTTTCGGTTATGTTAATGAACACAGTAAATGCCCAATTACATTTTTACCAACCAATAAAGAATCATTAAGAAAAATTTATGAAACTGTGTAAAATAAAATAAATAAAAAAAAAAACGAAATAGATAAAATAAAAACATGTTTTATATATTTTTTAAAAAAAAAAGGATTATTATTTTTTACATTAACAAAATACATTAATGTTTTATTTATTTTTATTTATTATTTATTACTTATTCTTGTGCATATCGTTTTCTTAATTCTTCTTTTCTTTTTTCTAAAAGAATAGATTCAATTTGATCTTTTGATGGTAATGGTACATGTGATTTAAATTTAATATCTATATCTGAATTATTATTGTTGTTGTTGTTGTTCTTTATATTTATTTCATCTTCTCCTTCTTGTGGTTCATCTTCCATATCTACATTGATTTCATCTTCGTTATTATTTACAGTTTTATTATTAAATATATTTTTGCTTGGATCTCTATTACCAAACCTATTGGATTTAATTTGTAATTTATCTCTTTGTTCTTTTTTCCATTGCTCGACATTCGATTCGATAGCTCTTTGTTCATATTCTTTTTCTATTTCCTCTAATTTGCCATCTTCATCATCCCTATAACCATAGTAATCTGAATCCACAACTCTAAGTAAATCGTGTCTTGTTTTCTTTTCGTTTAAATCTTTTGTATCTGGTTTTTCAAATAATTCCGCTACACCTGGTAAGTTTTTAGCTTCACCATAATATCTGTATGTACCTGTGCCCAATGGTTCTTTACCGTCTGCATCAAAAATTTTAGGTGTAATTGCTCTATAGTTTGGACCTCCTAATTCTAAAATTCTTCTTTCCCAATGTCCTTTTTCTCTAACCAATTTATTGATATGATCATTTAAATCTCTAATTTTAAATTCGCCAAGTGATGCTAAATAACAATGGGTGATAAAGTTGGTTAGTAACAATATTGTTTTTGCTTTTTATCTATATGTGTTATTATATTTACAATTTTGAATATCTGTAATTCCTTTTGTGATTTCTTTTAAAATTTGACGTCTCCATCTCTCTGCATCTACCAATGAGTCGCATTCTGAACTTAAATAAGGTCTCTTTTCTTCGCTTTTAGCTTCACCATTCTTTAAATTCAAGTATCTATTTAACATAGATCTTGCTTTTTCTTCATTACGTGCCATCTTTCTTTTCCTTTTTTTTTTTTGATATATGTAAATGAAATGAATTTAAAAAAATAAAAAAATAAAATTTAAAAAAAATGAAAAAAATTTTTATTTTTAAATTTTAATTTTTTTTTTTTTTTTTTTTAAAAAAATTTAATTAATGAAAATTCGAATATACCATATTTATTTATTGATAAAGAAATGATGGTTTAATACAGTAAAGTTTTGGCTTTAAACCCAAGCCTTATTATAATTACACAAATGACACCCACTTTTTTTTTATTTTTTTTTTATTTTTTAAAAAATTAAATTTATAAAAATTTTTTAATTTTTTTTTTTTATTTTTTATATTTTTTGTTTTAATAATAATAAAGCTATTTGTATTATAAATAATAACAAAAATGATTAAAGATTCAGCTCTTTTTTTATTTCATTGTTCATTTTTTATTTTTACCTCATATGGGGTTTTTCAATTCTTTAAAATTTTTGACAAGTTTGGATTTTATGGTAAAACTGATCCAATTTTAGTATTAAATTTTTTAACTTTATGGGGTCAAGTAAGTTCTAAATCTCTTATTATAGCTTTTATAAGTTATACTTATTAAACTCTTTATAATATTTATAGTTTTTTTTGATTTTATTTTTTGGAATTTCAACAATTGTTGATTTATTAAATTTAGTTAAATTTAAAAAAAACAACTATTTTTATTTTATAGCATTAAAAATAAGAGATGTTTTGTTTAGATCCATAATATTCCCAATTTGTTTTGTTATTTCATCGTTATTCTGGGGTATCTATGCATATGATCGTCAATTAATATTCTCAATCGAACTTGATTCAATTTTCCCAAGTTATTTAAACCATCTTCAACATACTTTACCAGGACTATTAATTATAGTGGAAACTTTAATTGAAAACCATCAATACCATGCATCACCTGTAACTTTACAAAAATTAAAGGAAGGCCCATCAAAACACCCCATCGAAACCATCACCCCAATTACCTCGGATGTCAAACAAGACGTTTCAAATTTAGTTTTATTTATCTTGACATATATCAGCATCATTGCCTATACTCGTTATACAATCGGTCATTGGCCATATCCATTTTTAAATGTAATCCCAACTCACTCCAAAATTATTTTCATTTTTACCTCTTCTTGTTTTGGTGTAATGTTATATGCAATTGGCAGATTAATAAACCAAAAGCGTTGGGGTGGTGAATCAATTTTTGTACCAAAAAATTTTGTAAAAAAACAATCAATCAATAAAAAAACAAATTAAATATTTTTTACAATAAATTATATTTTATTTAAAACATTATATATTTTAAAATATAACAACCCACACACCATCTTCAATTTTTATTTTTTTATTTTTATTTATTTTTTTTTTTAATTTAAATTATTTTTCATTTTTAAATTTTTTTTTTTTTTTTTAATTTGATTATCATTTTTTTTTTTATTATATCTTTTTTTTTAAAAAAATCATATTATTAAAATGGATCAGCAATATAAAATTGATCACGAAAAATTTGTATCCAATAATGAGGGGTCAACATTTATTGAAACATGCTTTATTTTAACAATTATGCCAGTATGTATATCATTATTTTTTTTTATTTTTTTTTATAAATTACTAACTTTTTAAATATTGCTTATAAAAAAATAAAATAAAAAATTTAAAAATAGATTTCTATATTATTTCAAAGAGTAGTTTTTGCAGCATTCTTTCATAATGATAAATATCCATTACCTATGCCAATTAGATTTTTTTTAGAGTTTTTATTTATAGTTGTACCATTTATTTCAGCAGTTACCTTTACAGAATTAACACCATTTTTAATTGGTGGTATGCTTATTACATGTTTAGTAGTACCAATTTTTGCACAGTATGTATCATAAGATTATTTTAATAACTTTTTTTTTAAACCCATTACTAATGATATTTATCTTTTTATTTTATAATAGTAAAAATATAACAATTTATTTCAAAAACCCAAAAGAAACATTATTAAATCTAAATTCAATGAGAAAAGGATTTATTGAAGAGTATAGATCATTTGTTATGATTGCAACTTGTATTTGTATATTGGCAATTGATTTTCCAATATTCCCAAGACGTTTAGGTAAAACAGAAACATATGGTATTTCATTAATGGATATTGGAGTTGGTTCAGTAGTTTTATCAGGTGCATTAGTTTCAAGACAATCTAGAGCAGGTCTAATTGAAAAATATCAAAAAGCTAAAAAAGATGATGACAAAGATAAAAATAGTTCAAGCGCTGATAATAAAAATAAAATTAAATTATCAAGAAGTTCATTAATGTGGCATCAAGTTAAAGCACAAGCACCATTAATGATTTTAGGTTTTGTTAGAATGATTTTAACTAAATCGGTTAATTATCAAGTAAGTAATAAATATTAATATATAAATGATTTTGTTTGTATTAACAAAAAGCAAATATTTTTTTTTTAGGAACATGTTTCAGAATATGGATTACATTGGAATTTCTTTTTTACTTTAGGTTTTGTTTCAATTTCATTAGCATTTTTAAAGTTTAATGCAAATATTAGTGCAATTTTAGGTGTCTTGTTTATTTGTATTTATCAAGTTTTCTTAAATCAATTTGGATTAACAGATTACATTTTAAATCATCCTCGTGACAGTTTAATCTCAATGAACAAAGAAGGTATTTGTAGCATAATTGGATATTTATCAATTCATTTAATTGGAACTAAAATTGGTTGTGAACTATTCAAAGTTAGAAACACATTGACTGAATGGAGAAAATTTGCAACAAAATTATTGGTACTCTCAGTTATCACCTGGGTATTATGGCTATTTTGTGAAATTTATATTGATAGAACCTCAAGAAGAATGGCAAATTTGGGTTATGTTTTAGCAATTCTCGCTATCAATCTTTTCAATTTCTCTGTAAATATTTTTGTCTATCTAATCTCTGGTAATCATAATGCTTCAGTTATCGCAAAATCAATTAACCGTAATCAATTATTTATCTTTTTATTGGGCAACATTTTAACTGGTCTTATCAATTTTTCAATGAAAACTATCTATGCCACTCAAGAGGAATCAATAGCAGTAATTACAGGCTACACTTTCTTTTTATGCCTTACTGCCATAATTTTAGATTATAAAAATATAAATATTAAATTTTGGTAAATTAAATAAATAAATTTATCTCTTTAAGCTTTTTTTTTTTTTTTCCTTTTTTTTTTATTAACCTTTTTTATTTTATTTAAATATTTCATTGGATTAATTTTTACTATTATTTTGTATAATTTTTTTAATTTGGCTCAGGATAATAATATATTAAAGCTGTGTGTTATAAAACCAACAATAAGCTGTTATAATTTATTTTTATCAATTTTTTCTCCAAAACCCAAACCAATATTTATAATAATATTTTTAACAATTATTGTTTAACTTTTTAAAAATAAAAAAGTAAAAAAAAAACAAAATTTATCTTTTATTTAAAAATAAAGATATAATTCTATTGTATTTTAAAAAATAATTTTTATTTTTATAATTCTTTAGATCTCCGATATTAATAATTTAAAATATAATTTATCATTTTTTTTAATAAAATAAACAACTATTGAATAAAAAAAAAAAAAACTATTTTTGTTAATAATAAAAAAAAATTTTATAAAAAAAAAGAAAAGGAATAATTTATTTTATATAAACAAAGTAGATTTTGATTTTTATTTTCTTTTTTTATATACAGTATATATTGATTAAGGGGGTTAAGATATATAAAAAAAAAAAAAAAACACCACACAATAATAATTAAAATATTAATAATTTTTTAATTTATTTTTTTATTTATTTATTTTTTATTTATTATTTATTTATTTAATATTAATATTATTTTTTTTTTTTTTTTTTAATTTTAAATATTAAAAATAGTAATAAATAAAAATAGTAATATATTTATTGAAATAATAATCACTAAATAATAAAATAATAATAAAATAATAATAAAATAATAATAAAATAATTTTTGATAAAATATTTTTTATATACAAAGTTTTTTTTTTTAAATATAATTAATAAAAAAAACTATTATGATAAATTTTAAAATAATTTTAATCTATATCATTATAATAAATATATTATTTGTTCAACAAAGTATACAACAACAATGTGATCAGTGTAGTGATGAGGGAAGTCCCTGTGGTTATTTAGATAGATATGATATATATAAAATAACGAGATGCAATGATCGTTTAATATGTGTTAAAACAGGTGTAGCACATAGTAATAATATATGCATTTACCCCTCTACTATACATGGGTCATGTAGATATGATTCAGATTGTGGAACTGGTTTAGCATGTTTAAAGATAAATAGCACTTCTGAAAGAGGAATATGCGAGAATATAAAATTCTCACGTAATGGGGAACCATGCAGAAATGATGAACACTGTGCTGGAAGACTTAGTGTTTGTAGAAAAGATATATGTGTAACAACTTCATACAGGGGCGAATGCTTTGATGACATGGATTGTGATATTGACGACTTTTGTTTAGATGATGGTGTAAATGAAAGAACTTGTCAAAGAAAATTAAAAGTAGATCAAGGAAATTGTACAGTGCATGGGTGTGAAAATAATAGTTTTTGTTTCTCTGAAACAAACAAGTGTACAAAGTATTTCTCATTAGAACTAAATCAAACTTGCGAAATCACAAAACATTGTAATATTGATAATAATTTAATTGTAAGTGTAAAATATAAATATAAAATAGAAAAAAATAAAATTAACCTTTTATATTTTATAGTGTGATTTAAATACTAGAAAGTGTATTCCTTATGTTGACCCTGGTATTTCACAATTTTATGATTGTATGTCAAATAACTCATGGTGTCCCTACCCAACTGTATGCCATTGTAGTGGTACATGTTATAATAGATTTAAAACAGATCGTGAACATAAATCAAGTTTTAATGAAATGTTTGAATGTTTTGACAACTACAATTGCTCACTAGTTTTACCAAATGTAAGATCACCAGACTCTTGTGTTTCAAGATTTTGCAAAAAGGAATACTGTCACTATAGTATGGTGGAGAAGAGGGGAAATTTTGCAATTTCCTGTAATAAACGTGTCGATGACTATTGTAATGATTTAGATAATATACCATCTGTGTTAGTAGGAGATTTTAACTCTACAAGTACTGGTGGTTTTACCCTCCCACCTACTATTCCTCCATCAAATAACAAATCAAATAACAGTAACCAACTCTCACATAATAATGGATCAAATTATGAAAATAATTTTGTTATTAAATTAATACCAAATCTATTAAATAATTCTTTTTTAACATTATTATTATTTGTATTATTAATATAAAAAAATATTTAAAGAATTAAATATAAACTAGAAAAACTAACAACCGATAAACAATACTCCACACAAAACAACAACGCATATCCACAAATGTGCTTTATAACATTACTTTTATAACATTACCACTACTTTATTATTTTATATAAATTATATAAAAATAAATAAAATTTAAAACTTTACAAAAAGGGTTTGATAAATTGTAATTTTATTTACAGTATTTTAATATTTATTATTTCTATTAAGAAAAACAAATACTATGCATGTTTTTGATTGTTATTTTTTTTTTCTTGAAAAAAATATATTTTTAAAATTTTGTTGTCTGAGTGTATGTATTAAATTTGATTTATTTTGTTATTATTATTCATATAGTTGTTTGATTATTATTTATTATTTATTATTTATTATTTATTGTTATTTATTTAATTAAATGTCTCGTATTATTTTTTTTTTTTTTTTTTTTTTTTTTTTTTTTAATCCCATTGAATTGGAAAACCTGTTACAGCAGGCTTATCATCCATAACACTTCTTGTAATTTTTGATAAAATTGGGGTTTCTGGAGGGTTCTATAGAATCATTAAATTAGTTAATTACTTTGAATATAAAGAATACATAAATAAATGTTATACTTACATCTCTTAATTCAGGGTCAGAATATTCGTTATTGACGTAATAACCAACTCTAATAAAGTCCTCACCTTTATATGCACAAATTAAGAAAACAACAGTAACACCTAATAAATCATCTTTTGGAATTCTATTTTGATCTGGTGGGTCAACTTCAAAAACAAATTGATTTTGACCAACTGAAACTGGTCCTAATAGTATACTATCTAATATTTGATCATTTTTTTCTGTATCTGCTGATCCAACATATAATACTTTCCATTCTAAATCTATAGATAATTGATAAATAAATAATATTTATATTAATATTAAGTTAAATAGTTTAATATTAATTTTAGTTATTCCTTTTTTCTTTAATTTATATACATACCTTCTTTAATTGGGCTAATACATTCAAATGATATATCAAATATAAATGGACTATCGAATGTTGATGGATTATTATGAATTAATACTTGAGTTAAACGAATGTGACTCATTTTTTTCTTTTCTTTTCCTTTTCTTTTCTTTTCCTTTTCTTTTTCTTTTTACAATAAACTATTTGTTGTGGTCTATATATATGTTTGTTGCTATTATTTATTATTTAATAAAATACAAAAATAAAAAATACACAAAACTAAAGCAATTTTATTAAACTAATCACAAATGAAAAATGAAAAAAAAAAAAAAAAAAAAATTAAAAAATTCAAATTTAAAAATTTTTTTTAAAAAGTATTTTATTTTTTTTTATTTATTTTTAAAAATTAAATAAGGCGCGATGGATATATTAACCACTTTAGAAAAATAAACTATAAAAAATATTTACTTTATATTGTTTTGCCCTTAAAATAAAATAATAATATAAATAATAAAAATAATAATAAAAATAATAAAAAAAATTATAAAAAAAATTATAAAAAAAATTATAAAAATAATTGCAATAATAAGAAAAAATAAAATTTTTTTGGTAACTAAATAAAAAATAAAAAAAAATAAAAAAAAATAAAAAAAAAAAAATAATTAAAAATATTTTTTATCTTTATTTCCACAAAAAAAAGAAAACTATAGTTTTAAAACTTTTATTTATTTTATTTTTATTTATTTATAAAATTAAAAATTTCTTTTTATATTTTATTATTATTATTATATTATTACTTTTTTTTTTTTTTTTGTTTTTTTATATTTTATATTATTTTAAAAAATTAAAATAAAAGATACAATTGATAGTATTAAAATAAGTGAAGTAAATAATTTTGTTGATGAAGAATCAGAGTCAAAGTATTCAGAATCTGGGATTGGGGTTGGAGGTTCGTGAATAGCTTTTACACCAATATCATCTACATACATAGTTGGTTGGCTTGTATCAGCTTTTAACCAGAAGCCATCAAATTCTTGATCTTTACCTAGCGCAGTCAAATCTACAGTGACTTTGGACCATTGGTTTTTAAGAACTTTACCACCTTCAACGACAGAAGAGAGCTTGAATGTTTTAACTATAGAATTGGTTTGATCTGGGTTTAGTTTTAAGAGATCAATATCCATATCTTGACCACCGTTATTACCACCATTTACCATAAATTCTACTGATTTGTGATCATTTGTTTTGATGCAACTCCAACACATAAAGTGTAATGATTTGGTGGCTGTTGGCAACCATTCGATAGAGTAATTACCACTGAAAACTTGTCTTGTGCAATTAGTAACACGGGTAGCAGAACTCCAATCATCAGCCCAATGAGTAATTTTATCGTTATAAATTTCGAAAGATGGAGTGTAATATGGTTTAACACCTTTAGCCAAATCTGAGAGATGTCTTTTGAAACCTAAACCAAAGTTTGAAGGAGTACCGTCGTAATCTTGAATTAAAGATGGAATACCACATGGACCAGTTAACCAAGACCATGCTAAATAGTGAATATCGTTCTTATCACAATAGTCAATAAAGTCTGATAAAAAGTCATGAAGACAATCTTTTTGGCCAGTTTCGGTAGCAACCATTGGGAATAATGAGTATACTGGTCTTAAAAAGGTATCCCAACAACCACGAGATCTACAATAGTTAAAGTCGTAAGAGTGGAGAGCAACACCCAATTGGCCAGCTGGGTCATGTGGTTGGTAATCGAGGAACATTGTAAATGAAGTAGCATATTGAATACCACTTAATAATATAATATTGGTTGAACCAGTTGAACGGATAGCATCAATCATTTGTTGCATACCAGAAGCCTCATAACCTAAATCACCGCAATCAGTACCATTCTTCCAACATTGCCATGCATCTGGATTGGCCCAACTGTTGCCATATGGATATGGTTCATTATAAAGATCGAATAGAACTCTTGAATTATCTTTGAATGATTTTGCTACATCTTCCCAAAAAATTAAACTGTTACCATTGTTTGGCATAGGGATTTGTTGTGTTGCTAATTTTCCATTTTCTGAAGCCCAATGAAGATCTAAGATTACTGCCATATTATTATCTGTATACATTTTAACATAATCTTTGATTGCTTTACGATACCCTGCGCCGAAATACTCTGTTTCTGGTGCATGTTCACCTAACCAGCAATCTTCATTTAATGGAACACGTACTGCATTCATCTTCCATTTTCTCATTTCGTAGATATGGTTTTCATCGCTTGGCCCATCGAATACCTTTGCATATTGAACACAACAATACTCTGATCCTGGTCTATTTGCACCTCTTAACATAATCATTTCCCCATTTTCATTTAAAATATTTCTTCCATATACATGCAATCCTTTGGTTGTCATTTCTTCACCTAAAACAAATGAATTCTTGCCATAATTTGAAATAAATAATAATGATAAAGATAAAATTATTAAAAGCTTTAATAATCTCATTTTTTTAATTATATTTATTTTTTATTAATCTATTATTATTATTTATATAAATAAAATTATTTTTATTATTTTCATTAGTGTGTGGGTGTAAATTTATTGGAGTGTGGTGGTTATTTTTTTATAAATAAATAATTTTATTATTTTATGTGATGTAAAAAAATATCGCGTTTTTTATAAATGAATAAATAAATTAAATGATTGAAAAAAAAAAAAATTTTAAATAAAATTTTAAATTATTTTTTTTAATAAACCACATTGTTATTATTTATTTTTTTTGATTATTATTATTAGTAAAAAGTATTTTTTAAAAATGATTTAAATTTTAAAATATTTATGGTGATTATTATTGTTATTGAAATATATATAAAATAATTAAATAAAATAAATTAGTATAATTAAACCCCTTTTTTTTTTTATATTATTGTTTTTTTATAATTATAATAATTACATTTTTTATTTTATTCCTTAAATGTCAATTTATAGTAGAATTTATATTAAACTAAAATTTTTTGTAGTAATATTATTATTGTATTTTTTCTATTTTATATTGGTATAGTTTGTGATAATATTAAATTAATAATACTATTACTAAACAAATATATATTTTATAAATTATTATTTATTCTTTTTTGTTTTATTTGATTTATAAAATATATAAAATAAAAAAAGTTTTTATATATATATCAAAAAACAAAATAATGAAAAAATTATTTAAAAATTAAAAAAAATAAAAAAATATTAAAATAATAATAAAAGATAAAGAAAAATGATGAAATGAATTTTTGAAAATGTTTATATATAAAAAATTAATAATATTGGAAACCTTAATTAAGTTTTTAACAACACTCATTTGAAAAAAAAAAAAATTATTATAAAAATAAATTTTAATAGGTGCAGCACATCCACAATCATCACTACCATATTGAATCAAAAATACCACCACTACACCACAAAATTCCACCACATACCACAACCACAACTAACAAAACATAATAAAAAATCAATGAGTAATCCTTATTCGACATGTATAAGAAAGTAATTAAAAAATATTATGTGTTCTTAATGTATACTTATATATAATATATAAACCTATGATGATATTTTTTATTATAATTTTGATTTTATATGGAAAATAATTGATTAATTATGTATGAGTTTTTATATTATAATAATACTCAAAGGTATATCAAATCTATAGATGATAAAAAGAAATGATTTAAAAAAAAAAAATAAAAAAAAAAGAGAAAAATAAAATAAAAATAAAATTAAATAATAAAATATTGTAATATCTCTCATTAATAATTTTTAATAGCACACAAATATTAAAATAAAAAATAAAAAAACCCTCCTATTAACCCACACAAAAAAATAATTCCCACACATGTGTTATTTTTATATATTTTTAATATAATGGAAAAAATCAATATAATTAATAACTATAAAATTTTTTTTTTTAAAATTTGTAATAGTTATTTATATATATAATTTTATTATTTATTAACAAAACTATATTTTTTCGATAATCATTTGAAAGAAATGCAAAAATAATTTAAAATAGGCTCCTTCTTGATAAAAAAACACAATTATTACTCAATATTAAATAAAAATTAAAAATAAATATTTAATTTTTATCAAAACAGATTTTTATTAAAAAAAAAAAAATTTCTTTTTTTTTTATTAAATTTTTATTTTATTATTTGTTTTTGTTTTAGGTTATAAAATAAAAATTCATTAAATCTTTTCTTTTGAAAAGTTGTGCAGATTATTTAATATAATGAAATAACAACTTAGGAGTGAGGTGACAAAGTTGAAAAAGATAACTCATAAATAATTATAGATAAAGCTATATAAATGTTTTAAAAAAAATTGTAAAATAAACCAATCATTTATTTTTTTAAAAAATGCTATATATTTATAAATTTTATCTAGGATAAACTATCAGTAAAAGTGGTCATTATCTTGGTATGCAAAAATAATATTAAGTTCGCTTAGTTTAAAGATATGACCTGAAAAACTAAGCAAAATGCAAATTATATAAACTATTATATAACTTGTTTAAACCTTTTTTATCCAAGAATTTTGTCAAAACCATATAGTGCACTTTATTTTGCTGATGGTTCATCATTGAGAACTCAAAAAATTTATTTATTAATTTGATTTTTATTTAGTAATTTTTTTTTTATTTGAATCTCATTTATAATATAAGGTTATGAAAAAAAATATAAGGATGATTGTTTGATGAATATTTTTTTTTAAATCAATAATCAGGTTATAATTTTTTTTAAAAACACTCTAAATCACCTATCGCATTATTTATTTCAAAGACAGATATTTTTAGATGGAAGTACTCATTAATTATGGTAATTTTAAAAAGGAAAATAATAAAAACATTTAAATACTTCTTACATTACACACACATTATAAATAATAAGAAATAATAATAAGGTCACAATTTATAACACTATTTAATAAAAAATTCAAGTTTTTGATAATAAAGATATCTTAAAAAAAATCTAATAATAAAACAAATTAAATAATATATCTTATTAAAAATCGTCCTTTTTTTATTAATTTCTAACCACGAATTTTTGACTTACCCCTTCAATAAGAATGGTGCAAAGGTTAACACAATTTTTATTAATTTATTTTTAGAAAAAATTTTAGCTATTTAAATTTGATTGAAAATCGCCCTGTAGGGCCCCATATTTAAAATATTATATAAAAGGGGATGTAGCTCAGATGGTAGAGCGCTCGCTTAGCATGCGAGAGGTAAAGGGATCGATACCCTTCTTCTCCAATTAAATCGAATATTTTATTTGATCAATTCTTCCCGGTGATTTATTTCAATAGGGGTTATGATAGCATATGTATTATTATTATCAAAATTCACTTAATTAATCAGAGTTACCAACCTTTAGATTCTGACTTTACAAAAGAAGAAATAATTTTAGCAATAAACCAACTAAATCCAAACAAATCACCTGGTCCAGATGGAATAACCAATCAATTTTATATCACACATAAAGAAAAACTAGCACCAATGTTAGCTTCTGCTTTCAATGACACCCTAAACAACCCACACATAATTGATCTACAATATAAAGAAGGTTTAATCATAACAATCCCAAAAAAAGGTGACCCTATGCTCATCAAAAATAGAAGGCCTATAACTCTTGCTAATTGTCTATACAAGATACAATCTAAGGTAATCAACAATAGATTACAGACTATTCTTCCTGATATAATTAACCCCAATCAGAAAGGCTTTACTGGAGGCAGAAAAATTACAGATAATACAATGACTGTAAACGAAATTATCAAATATTGTATCAAAAACAAACTACCAGGAATCATTACTTTTTATGATTTTGAGAAAGCTTTTGACTCTATATCTCATGATGCCATTTACAGAACACTATTACACATTCAAGTACCAACCAAACTAACTAATCTTATTATGCAACTACTCACCAATTCCTTTGCAAAAATAGAAATAAATGGTAAAAATACTGATAAATTTATAATAGGACGAGGAGTAAAACAAGGAGATCCTTTATCACCGACCCTTTATGTAATGGTAATAGAAGCTTTAGCTAGATCAATATTAGAAGATAAATCAATAATTGGACTTCCTTTAGACAACACAAACAGAAGAATCAAATTTCAAGGTTTTGCAGATGATTCATCATCAATGGTTCATAACAACGACCAACTTAATTTGGTACTTCAACACTTCAATCAATTTTGCACAGCAACATCATCAAAACTAAATATAGATAAATCAGTTTCAATAACAATCAACAACCCAGACACAACAAATTCAGTTATTCCAATATCAAATAAACCAGAAAGATATTTAGGTTACTACTTCACAGGTACCGGAATCCATAGAAAACTACCAGAAATACTGAATTCTATAAGATCCTCGTTATCATTATGGAAAACAACAAGTAACTCAATTAAAACAAAAGTAAACATCCTCAAATCCTTTGCACTATCAAGAATAACATATTACTCGTATATTGAAGAATTCAACGATGATGAAATTAAAGAAATCAATAAAATTGCAGATTGGTTCCTATCAGCACCTAACAATAAAAGTCCAAATGGTTTTAAAGTCTTCAAATTAATGAGCTCTAAAAGAGCAAATTATCCTATGGATCAAGGAGGTTGGAATCTTTGGAATATCAAAAACAGACAAAAAGCACAAAGATTATGGATGATAAATCAAATAATCAATAAAATTGAAACTAACAAAATAGAATCAGAATATCAACACAGTTGGAAACATCAAATATCAACCAAAACAATAACTTCAGATTACCTATTTAAAAACTACAATGATTGGATACAAATAAAAGTTAAAAAAGGACTACTAGACGGGTTGAAATCCATTAAAAATAAAGACGGCAAACCTCTTTCTTTAGCAGAATGGTATTCGGAAATAAACAATCTCAACAGCTTTACACCCAAAACAGAATTCCAACAATGTCTTCAACTTACAGGTTATAGCTATATCAACCTATTCAATAATATACTTAATATTAAAGATCCAAAATCAAGAAACACTCTATTCAAATTCCAAGCAAGATGCTTACCCATCAACTTCATTCACAACAAACCATGTAGACTATGTAATGAAAATCTTAATAATGATCCATATGGTCATCTATTTTTCAAATGTAAAAAAACTCTGAAATTCATCAACTTTAATAAACTAAAATCATTTATATTCATTACTTCGGGAAGGGGCCTCAATTGGTCACTAGACATAACAAGATCAAGAAGGAATATATCAATAAAAAATATTACATACAAAATCCCAGAAGGTCGCAAATCCGATGGAGAAATAAATATGGATTACAACAACACCAGATTCCACAAATCACACTTCCAATGGAACTATAAAGCAATAGATTTCGACTTAACTAGATGTTTCGCTTATAGAAATGCCATAGCCCTGGTATTTCATCAAAGGTTACACGACTTTTATTAATTTATTTTAAAAGGATTATTAGTTTTTTCTCCAATAGTGCACCTTATTACAGATTACCAGAAATGCCTGGATGGCTCAGTAGGCAGAGCGAGCGGCTGTTAACCGCCAGGTCCATGGTTCGATCCCTCGTCTAGGCGATTTTTTGTTATTTTTGAAAACTTGATCTCCTGAAAGAAAAAATAGGCCAAACCGCTAAATTTTTGTTTTGGGGAATAAATTGTGGTATATCGCCAACACCAACACCACAACAAAAACCACAAATTAGACAATCACCTCATAAAATGCAATCTTACTTATTAATTTAAAGCATTTGACAAGTGTTAACATCATATAAAATCTTACTTTTTATAAATTAAGTTTTATCAAATAATTTTAGCACTGTCCAACAGCTTTTTAAAAGCTATTTCAATGTATATTAACTATACTCCACAAAACACAGATCAAAAGAATTTAAATCGTATTAAAGATTTTTAATCTTCTATCTTCACTATCTCCAATCTTCACCAATTTGTCTTTCTAAAAGCCAATCCAACTACAAACATCATTCCCACCACCATCTTCAAACGTAAAACCAATCATAATAGATTTATCCAACGATTGGAAAGAAATGAAAACTAAGGATTTTCCCCATAATAATTTCAATACTATTGAAGACATACTCTTGTCAAGCATCTCTATAATTCAAAAAAGTATTAAAGATATCATTGAACGAGATAACAAACTATCCACTTATGAGAAAAATGGAAACAACATCAATCTCAGATTATATTACCCAAACCACCAAATATCCGATGAACATATAATTCATTTCAGCAAATACACAGATATAGAAAAGATCTCATTCGACAAAAAGAAAAAGAAAACTATCTTTATCTCTCTCTCAAAAGAAAACCTACATAATCTCCTAAATGAAAGAGATACCACCAACAAGATGAACAAGTTCATCACGCACTGTGACGATTACCATATGGTAATTGGAAACATCAACTCATCCAATCAAGACATTGAAAAAGTGTTAAAAGAACAACTTAACCTAAAAATTGACTTCTTCTTTTCTCACATCAAAGTCAACAAAAACAATACCTCCTTTTTCCACCTCATCGAAAGAAAAAACAACTCAATCAAATCAAAGCTACTCCAATCACCATACTATCGTATTAAGATTAAGTCTGCAACAAAATCAAAAAATCATCCCAACAACAAAATCAATCAACTAATCAATGAAGATATACTAGGGGTCTCCACTGATAAAGAAATTGATAACAACATTACCAAAATCAATCAATTAAGCAATGAAGATATGTCCAGGGTCTCCACTGTTAAAGAAATTGATAACAACAATACCATAATCAATTAATTAATCAAAAAAGATAGGGTCGACTTTAATGATCAAGATGATGATTACAAAGAAACTATTTCTGATAACGAATCTAACAATTCAACTAACACACTAGATAACGAAGAAATATCTAATGACAAAACAAACAAACAAACAAAAAACCAATCATCACAAGATGACAATAAATCATCAACCAGCAAACCCTCAAGAACATCCAGGGTTAACGCACTAAACAACATCTTTACAAGATTAGCTTCACCAACTTCCAAAAATAAAACCGCCATAACAAATATGAATACCACCGCAAAAAGTAACCGTACTCGAAATGTTAGCCAAATATCCACACCAATCAAAAACACTCCATACCAATCAGGCAGTCCGAAATCACCTGCTATTGAACAAAAATCTAAGAAAAAAAAAACTTCTTAAACTAGATAGGTTGTTTCAACCTTACCCCAACACACCTTACCCCAACACCCGCTTCTTCTTATATTTTAATATAAATAAACACCGTCGCTTACACTAATAATATTTATTATATTATTAAGTAAGCTTTTTTAAAAAAAAAAAAAAAAAAAAAATATTAAGCTTTTTAAAAAAAAAAATAAATAAAAAAAAAAAAATAAAATAGTCATATAATTTTATTATCCTTATTTTTATTATTAATTAATTATTTATTTATACTTTAAAAGTTCATTTACATTACACATAGTGGAAGAGCGAGTTGACTCCAGCTGCTGCTCCCTGTTTGATTCCTAGTTAGAGATTAAAAATTATCTTTATTCTCAGTTTTTACCCATTATCGTTATCTTATTCATTTAAAAATTTTTTTTAAAAGTTATCTCTTTTTTTAAAAAAAATTATCTCTTTTTTTAAAAAAAATTATTCATTTTTATCGATTTTTAAAATTTGCAAATAGATGTAAAATAACAGCACAAACACACCCATCACAATTTTTCTCTTATCCGCCTTTCTTTTAATTTTTTTTTAAAAATTTTTTTAATTTTTTTTAAACATTTAATATATTTTTTTTTTTTAGTTTTTTTTTAATTATAATCCGCGCTTTTTTAAAAATTTTTTTTTTTTGATTTAAATTTTGAATTTTATTAATTATAATATTTTTATTTTCCTTTCAAAAACCTTCACAAAACCATATTGATACTAACACTAATATTATGGTGCTATTTTTCACTTGTGTTGATGCTTATATTCACACCTCTTTAATAATAAAATGACAATATTATATTTCAAAAAAAAAAAACTATAAAAATAAATCATGAAAAACATTATGACACCAATCATTGTTGTTTTTATTTTTTCGTTTTTAATATTATTTTCTTTTTTATTAATAAAAACCTCAACCAATACAAAACCAAAACAAAAGGTCGAATTATTGTTTTTTTTTTTTTTTTTTTTCCAAAAAAACAATAATCAATATTAAATTATAATATACGTATTCATAATTATATTTATTTTTAAAATGGTATTTATTTTAGTTAAACTAAAACCTCAACAAATCCAAATCAAAAAAAAAAAGGTAGAATTTTTTTTTTACTTTTATTTTTTTTAAAAAAAACATATTATTCTACACATTTTCTAAATTAGCTCTATAAATAGACCCAAAAAATAACTAGAATGCATCAACACTAGATTTTACAATGCTTTTTAATCCTTCGTTTTTCTTTCTTTTTTTTTTTTAAAAGCAAAGTTTTTTTTTTTTTTTTTTTTCATTCTAGTTAATATAAAATAATTTCTTAAACCTTCTAATATTACCCATAAAAGATTCTACCATTGAAAGTAAAGTTTTTGTGAAAAAAAAAAAAAAAATTGTTAAAATAAAATTGAAAATATTTTATAATTTTATGAATTATTATCCTTTTTTTATTTTTTTTATTTTTTTTTTTATTCACTTTTATTCTTTTTTTTTAAATCTTCCAAGTGATACAAAAAAGGATAACGATAAAGATAATTTTCAACCTCTATTCCTAGTCTCAGGTTTTTCTTCGGAAGCACACACGAACTGACCTTATCGTGCCCAACTGGTATGCCGTGGTTAAACCCATTTAAGTATAAAACATACCCCGAAACATAAACAAAACTTTACTAATTAATTTAAAGCATTTGCTTTTAATTATCTTCACTTTTAAAAAAAATAAAAAATATACAAAACACAATAAAAATGAATTAATTCATCATTAAGAACCATTTCACTTTTAAAAAAAATAAAAAAAAGAAAGATTTTTATTGTTACAGCTGTTTTAAATTATTTTGGAATAATTGAAAAAAAGAAGCAATTGTGGAACAATGGAGCGAATTGACAACAGCGTCAGTGCCCAACTTATATGCAACGTGGTAAACTTATAGAAGTATAAAACAATACAATAAATAAAATACGAATGCCATCATTAAAATCTCTATTGATTTATTAGATTAAAAAAATATATTTTTAATAGCTATGGATAAGCCATTATTAATACATTCACCAGCTTGACACTCCAATGGAATAATTGGTAATATGTTAGTTAAATAACTTTGAGCAAACGAACAGCTTATTGGATAACTATTATCGGAAGATGATGATGAGGTTTTTTGGTTTACATTTGGGCCACAATCAAATTTAGTGGGACCTTGAGCTTGGTCAATTATATCTCCAAAAAACACTCCACAATATGATGAAGCATTACATTTTGAGTATTGGCAGTTTATTGTTTGATTATAACCATCTATCTGACTAATACATTCATTAAATGAACAATTAAACAATAATGGTGCGCCAGTATGATCATTATAAAATCTCAAACTACACTCACCTAATTGGTTTGGATTGGAGAAATCACAATTGAAAGAAACCGATGTAGAGGCATTTCCAAAATCTAAATTAACTAATGGGCCTATAAAATTTTATAATAAAGAGTTTATTAAACTATTTAAATCAAATAAAATGTTTTATATTACTTACTTGTTACTAAACAACTATAATTCTTTTTATTATAAATTAAATTTGAATTATCACAAGAATAAGTATTGGAATAATCATTATTGAGACTATTACAACCACTGGAGGATGAGCAAACATTACACTCAATTCCATCTTGGCCTGGTGGGCAATAACATTTTCTTATACCGGCACCGAATACTGGAGGGCAATATCTTCCGCCACTACAGTCCATTTGATCCCAATCGTATTCATTATCAATATTTATTGAGCAATCATTACCTGTATAATAATTAGTGCATTCGCAAGAATTGGTTTGATTATTGCATTTACCTATTATTTAGAATAAATTTAAACATCATTTAATATATATTACATTTAAATAAATTTATGTTTTTATTTATACCTTGACCCCATAATTCATAACAATCATTTAAACAACCAGTTTTACTTTTGAAATTAAAGGTTGATTCTTGACATGTCTCACCAAACCATTCGGAAGAACCTGAACCCTCTAAAACATTTTCATTTGATTTAATGAAACTAATGTTAGTTATTAATAAAACTATTAAGAGAAATAAATATATAGTTTTCATTTTAATCCTGTATATAGAAAAAAATACGATAAAAAAAAATAATTAATTAAAAATAAAAAATAAAAAAAATAAAAAAAATCCACAAGATATTTTAAAACTAACAGGACCTCATTTCTTAAGAAAAAAAAAAATGGTGATAGTAAAACTTTAATAAATATTTTATTTTTTTTTATTTTATTTTTTTTTTTTATTTTATTTTATTTTATTTTTTTTATTATTAAAATCATTTTAAAAAATTTTAAAATGAATTATTGGGATGATTATTAAAAACACATTTTTTGATTAAAATACATTATTATAAAAAAAAATAAAAAGGGGTTGAGTTTTTTTATATTAATATTATTTTTTTTTTTGTTACTATATATAAATAATGGATTGAGGAAAATTAGAAAATTTAGTTTCTTGAACCAAGAGCTGAACCGATTTGGTTTGAAAGATTCTTTCTCTTTTCAATTTCGGAGCTACCAAGAGCATTACGGAGAGTGTTGACAACTTCTTTGGTCTTACCAAAATAAATGGTTTCTAAAGTTTGTCTTAATTTTGATTCCATATCTTCGACCATTTTACCAATGTTAACAACGTGGGTATCAACGTCATTAAGTGGGAATTCTTTTTCGTCTTGTCTAGTTAAACTACCAGCAAGGTTAATTTTACCAGTAGCTTCATTATCAGTTTCAATTGATAACATGACAGTTGAGGTTAATTTGTAGTAGGCGTTCTTTTTCTTATCTTTAACTTCGACAACGTGAATTGAATCCCAGGTACCTCTCATTGGTTGACCTTTCTTTGATTGATCTTGAGCTATAATTATAATAAAATAATAGTAGGTTAGTAGTTATAATATTTTTTAGACCCATTATTTAATCTGCTTACTTTTTTTCATTAAAACAACTGCAGCAAAATCATCATCGAGATCCCAACAGTAAACTGATGAAACACCACCTTCAAAATATAAATTAAGATAAATTTCGAAAACTTCATTGGCTTGAACTTCAATTTCTCTTAATTTTGCTGATGGGTAACAAGCACCTGAAAGTGCTGGGTCATATTTATTTGACCATGGTGATCTAAATTTATTTATTATGATTAAGTTTATTAATAACCATTACCAAATATCTTTTTTTTATTTTATTTTTTTTAAAACCCCCAATCTTGGCGAAGCAAGATAACTATTTCCAAAATATTGTTATTGTTATTATCATTATTATTATTTATAACTATATTTACCTGTATGAATCGGCATCTCTGTTATAATCACATAATAAATAATCTTTTTTGGCAACTGAATCATAAGCAACTTTTAATGGTTGATCGACTGAACTTAAAAGATCATCTGTGAGATCTGGGACAAGATCAAGAAGACCAGCTAAATTGTCTTCGATTTGTGAAGGTGGGAGTCTTCTCATTAAATCGAGGGCTGCATTTAATTGTTTTTCTGACATTGTTAAATTATATTATAAAATATATATAAATAATAAAAAAAAAGTTTTAATATAAAAAAATAAAATTGAAAAAAAAAAATCAAAAAAAAAAAAAAAAAAAAAAAATTTTTAAAAAAAAAAATTTTAAAAAAAAATTAAAAAAAAAAATAAATAAAAATATTTATAAAAAAAATTAAAAAATAAATCAAGCCAAGTTTTTATAATAATAAAAAAAAATTATAGTTATAAAAAACTATAAATGTGTGTTTGATAAATACACCTTTTTGATAAAATGAAAAAAAATAAAAAAAAATAATAAAATAAAATAATCTAATCTTGATCAAAAATTTTATTTGTTTAGTTTGTTTTGTATTATTTTTTATTTTATTTGATTATAATAATTTTTTTTTTCTATTTTTTTTTTGGGTTGAAAAAGCCATAACCAAAAAAAAAAAATCTGTAAAAATTTTTTGTATTTTTTTTTTTTATATAATGATCTATTTATTTATTTTCTTTAAAAGGTTTACTTCTTTTTTTTTTTTTTCTTATCATCTTCAGATGAGGATGATTCTGACTCTGACTCTGACTCTGACTCTGACTCTGATTCAGAATCCACTTTTGATTTTTTTGATGATTTCTTTTTTTTTTTATCTTTTTCGTCTTCTGAATCATCTTTCTTTCTCTTTTTAGATTCTACAGCTTTTGAGGTTGATTTTTTATTTTTCTTTTTATTTTTTTCATCTTCTGATTCGCTGCTATCTGATTCTGATTCTGATTCTGATTCGCTTTCACTTTCACTTTCGCTTTCGCTTTCTTCTTTTTTATTTGGTTTCTTGGTTTCTTCTTTTTTTGTTTTTTCTTCTTTTTTAGCTTCGACTTGTTTTTCATCATCAGAATCATCATCAGAATCATTAAATCTTGTTATATCATTGTTTATTTCATCTGTTTTAATTGGTGAAGTTTTATTTGGTGTGCTTGTGTTTGAATTGTTTTTAAAATTATTATTTGTAAATTGTGGGGTAGTTTCATCAAAACCTATAATACCAGTTGAGCTTAAATCATTCATATCACCTTGAATACCTATATTGTGTCTATCAGCACTTACACTATAATAAAATTTAGTTAATATAAACTCCATACCATTTGTTTGGGTTTTTACTATTAAAAACTTACTCTTGAACTTTAAATGCAATTTTGGTACCAACTGAAATAGTTGCTTTACTTTGTTTATTAACAAACATATTTGATGAGTGGTCGAAAATGAATGTTTTTGGGATACATGTCTTATGAATTGATGCTGAAATAATACCAAATACTAATAATGAAATATGAGTTGTTGAAACTCTTTTAACAACACCATCTAAAATAATAATAAAAAAATATTAATATTTTATTAAATAAAATTAAAATTTCTTTTCTTTTTTTTATATTTTTGATATTTACTTAAAATTTGATTTTTAAATGGTTTAAAAACTAAAAATTTAACTTGAATTTTAATACCTAAATATGGACTATCATAAAATATTCTAGCTTCTTTATCGACATGAACAACATCGTAATATGAGATAATAATGCCGCCTAACTCGTTCTTATATTTAAATACTAAACGATCTAACATTGATTTGGTGCCACTGACAATATTATTTGTATCCATTGGTGGTAATTGAAGTGATAATTGTACTTTCATCTCTTCGAAACAATTTCTTATTGGTTGAACCAATGATTTAGTTGGTGTATTGGTTGCTGACATTTTACACTATTTATTTTATTAAGTAATTATTATTACTAATTTTATAATTAAACAAAACAAAAAGATAATAATATAATGAAAAATAAAAATTAAAAAAAAAAAAAAATTACGCGATTCGTTTTTTTTATAATTTTTTTTTTTTTTTATAATTTAATTTTATTTTTATTTTTATTTTTATTTTTTATTTAAAAATAATATTTATTTAATATAATTTATTTATTTAATATAATTTATTTATTTAATTTTAAATTTTAGAATTAAATATATTGCTCTTAATTATTATTATTATTATTATTATATTATTACTATTTTATTTGAATTTTTTTTTTTTTTTTTTTTGTAATAACAAATTTTTATTCCCCATCCACAAAAATTAAAAAAACATCTTCGACAATTTTTAATATTTGGTTTGGTTGTATATTTTTTAAAATTTGATATTGTTTTGAACGTGGCCAAAATACTTTAATTTCACTGATTGTGGGGCATTGGCCTAAACCGAAATGAACACGGAAAGAGTTTTGGGCAGAGAAATGTACACCAGACTCTACATCACGGAATTGGATTTTCTTACAACTTGTAATATAAATTCTACCGCCAAATCCATGAGCATTTTCATCGATACCTTGGAGATCTATTTGGATCCAGTTTTTATTCGAGTTTGCTACATTTTTAAATAATTGTACAGGACCAATATCATAAGGTGGAGCGCCTTTACCATTGGTTACTAATAAATCTAAATGACCATCATTGTTATAGTCGACAACTGTAACAGATTCACCTTTACCAAATGATGTGCCTGCTGCACCCATTGCATCATTTTTGGCAGCAAAATAGCCACCACCTCTATTGCTAATGTAAACATTTGGTGAGTTTGCGAATGGCATATAAGTTACTAAATAGATATCTAAATTTAGATCATTGTCAAAATCGCCAACTACCAATGATCCGCATTGAGATACATCATTTGCATATACATCTTTATATTCCCATTTTAGGTTGGATGATTTTCTCTCGCCACTTTGTGATTTCTTTTCTGCTGTGCTATTATAAATACCATAGTTGTAATAGATTGTAACGATACATTTACCCATATATTGACGTGCTAAAACAATATCTTGCCAACCATTTCTATCCATATCGCCAAATGCAATATCGGTAACTACTGCAAAGAACCCGGTTTCAGGTGGAGGTGGCACCCAATCAACTGATGAATTTACAGTGGCAGCTTTATGAGCTCTAACAATATTCTCATCAACTGGGAAATAAAATGGTGTAACATCTTTGAATGGTTTATATGGGTCATCTGATGATGTATGATAAATTTTGAAAGGGAATGTAAAACTAATTAGCAATAATTCTAATTGACCATCATTATCTAAATCGGTTTGTCTTGCAAATAAAATCTTGATATCATTATCAATGTCGATCATTTTTGTAACATCTAAAAATACATCTAAACCATCTTGATCCACCTGAGAACGGAACATTGCAGATTTTCCTTTTTGGTCTGATCTCTTTTGTGATGAAATAAATGCATCCAATCTACCATCGTTATCATAATCCAACCATGTAATGGTTCTACCTCTAGCAAATGGATAATCGATACCACGTTTAGCTGATTCCTCTGAAAAAAATCCTCCTTTTCCATCGTTAACAAATAAGTTGTTTGGAATTGATGATGTACCATATAATGCACCAGTAACCTCCAATAAATCCAAATTACCATCTTTGTTAAAATCTGCCCATGCTGATGAATGTTTATCTATAAATTTACCTTGGCCCTATATTTGAAAAAGAAGGGGTATCAATATTAATGTTTTAAAACAAACTAATTGTATTACTATACTTACATAGCCTTTAATATATTGTTTAGAAACATCTTTAAAAGAAGTTCCATTTTGATTTAATAATAAAGTTGGATACCAATAGTGATTGCTTATATATAAATCCATAAAACCATCATTATTAAAATCACCCCAACTACTACCAAAGCTTGGTGCAACATAAACATTTTGATCATTTAATAAGACTTCTGTAAAAAGTGGCTCTGTTTTTTTTGAAATTTTAAAATTTGATATGCCATTGGATTTCTCTTTTAATAATAATAAATTGTTATCTATGTTGTTTTCCGAGGTTTGGCTCTCTTCTATATTATAGTTTTGGTGTACACCGATAAAATTCATTTTATCTTTATAGTTGTATTGATATTTTGAACACATTAATTTCATTGGGTATGCTTTCATTTCTTCTTTTATACATTTTGATGGTTGTTCGAAATTTGGTGCATATTTTGCATCTTGAATTTTCATCATTGTTTCTAATGATAATAGTTTGTATTTTGCTGGGTCATTAATTATACTTGGATCATCGTCTTCATCCTCTATATTGTAGTGCCCCATATTATACTTGTGTGAATTTGAGCAACCCCACTGTGTTTCATCGCCACCTAGTGATATAAACCTCTTTTCTAATAGGTGAATATATTGATTAAAATCTTGTATTTCTGCATTCTTTAGTTTTATTATATTTTTTTCTTTTTGTAACTCTTCGCTTAGTTGCATAACGTCATACTGTAATTTAAAAAATATTATTGATGATATTATTAATATAAAAATAATTGGTTTGTTTTTTGAGAGGAACCAATATTTATCTCTATTATTTAAAAATGGAGGATATAAAGATTATTAGTAGTTTTTTTATTTTTTTTTTTTATTGTTTATATAATATTTACCTTGAAGGTCTCATCATCATTTTTTTTTTTTTATAATATTATTTGGCTATTTATATTATTTATTATATTATCATTTATTTTATTAATTATTATAATTTACTATAATTTATAGTATTGCACGAAATAAATTATTAAGGATGGTATGAAAATAAGTTGGGTTTTGGGTAAAATAAAAAAAAATTTTAAAAAAAGAAATTAAATTAAATTATTCGTTAGATAGAAAAATCCAAGTAAAAAAAAAATAAAAAAATTTGCAAAATAAAAAAAATAAAAAAATATTTCGAAATTAAAAAAAAAATAAAAAATAAAAGAAAAAAAAATATTATTTTTCTTTTTTTCTTTTTTTTTTTTTATTTATTTTAATTTAAACCAAAATAATACTGGTAAAAACCATAAATAGTTTTTTTTTGTAAAAAAAATAAAAAAAATAAAAAAAGCTTGTTCAATACCAAAATTAAAAATATTTTTAAAATTAAAAAAAAACTTGATTTGTTTATTTTTTTGGAAAAAAGAAATGCAATAAATAATAAATTAATTTATCTTTTTCGAATTTAATAATATTATTATTATGTTGGTTATTTGAAAACATTATAGTTTGATGGATTATAGGCTTGGAAGTTTTTAAACAGTTCTTTATCTTTATACATTTTTGGTAACATATCAGTGGGTTGCCATTTTTCTTTTAATTGATTGATATCACTTGATGATTGATATTTACCCGATGACTCGTAAGGTTTATCGAGAATTCCTTCGGAATCAAAGAAAATGATTTGAGCGATTCTTCTCCCAACAACCAATGGTATAGAATAGTGGAGCGAGTTATTGGTGATTTCTAATGTCCATCGACTTTGAAAAAAAAAAAATTAATATATATATATGTGTGTTAGTATGATTAGTATAGTATATTTGAAAATACTAAAAAATAAATAAAATTTACTTTATATATCCAATGTCTCCCCAACCGGCACATTTACAAACTTCTATAAAATTACGACCTAATGATGAACGTGCTTTCATCATGGTGGTAACTGTTGTATTACCACCAATGAATTCATTTGTATGGGCTAAAATAGTTTCACCTGGTTTAATCCAAATTATTAAATCATCTTCGCTTATGTTTTCTAATTTGACTCCGGAACGTTTACTCCATTCACTTACTTTTTCTGCCATTTTATAGGTACCCCAAACTCTTTTTACCATATTTTCAGAATATGGATTATAAATACCGGCACCTGCTTCTGGTTCAGTTTCTCTAAAATAATATGGACCTAAAGTTACGTCATAGGATGAGGTTGATAGAAATTCTCTTTGGAATGGCGAAATTACAATTGTGCCTTTATCTATATGTTTTAAAATAGCTTTATCTGATAATAAAGATTTTTCTATTGTATTATTTGTATCCATTTTATTAATTATATATTAAAAATAATTAATTTTTTTTTTAATTTAATTATTTTTTTAAATTAATTATTTTAATTTTTTTTTTTTTTTTTTTTTTTTTTTTAAAAAAATAGTTGGCGGCAACACACATTTATTAATTATTAAAACCAATTATTTTCAATATAATATTAAAATGCCATTTTCCCAGTACAATTTTTTATATTCCCAAAAGATAAAATGAAAACAAAAAAAAAAACAAATAATTTTTATAACAAAACTTTTTTTTTTTTATTAATGTTATTTATTAATTTTAAAAGAAAAAAAACAATTAAAAAAAAAAGATATTTATTATTGTGTTATTTATATTTTTAATAAAAAAAAAAAATCATTCATAATAAATCAATGAAAATATCTTTTTATTTATTTATTTTTTTTTTACAAATTTTTATTCGATCGTTCTATATATGTTATTTTGTAATTTTGTGCAATAATAGTGTGTTGGGTTAGTAATAATAATTATAGTATTAATAGTACTAGTCTTAAAATAAAAAAAATAAAATAATTATAATAATAATATTCAATAATAAATCATTTATTGTTCAATTGTTTTTTTTTAATTATAATAATAATAAATAAACCTTTGTTTTTTATTTCTTTTATTTTAAAACTAAATAATCCTATCAACTATTAAGATCGGGATTAAAAGAGCTCTCCCCCTATACACAAACGAAAATTATTTTTTTTCTTTGGTATAATGATATTGTATTTTTTTATGGGGGGGGCCCCCGCTTATACCCCCCCCCGGTTTAAATAATAATAAAAGGTTTGGTTTTTTAAATGGTAAAAAAAAAAAAGAAAAAAAAAAAAAAAAAAAAAAAAGATATTTTTTCAATCAATAATTTATAATTTTTTAGTAGCATCATTTTTATCATCATCACATCCATCGTTTATAAATTATAAAATGATTATTATTAATTATTTTATGACAATAACAACACACGAGCAATAAAAACTTTTTTTTTTTTAAATCACAAAAAATTACATTTACACACACCATTACACCAACTAACAACAACAACAATCATAATTATGTTTTTAAAAACACTATGGATTAACACTCCCACTCACATTCTTAAATTAAATATTAGTTTTGGTACACACACATCCCACACTCATTAATAAAATTAAATAAATGATATTATTAGTTTTTTTGATTTTTATATTGCAAACATTCATTATCATTATTAATAATTATATTAAATTATTTTTAAAAAAAATGTTTGTTCCTAATTATATCACACACTCACTGAACGATGATACTTTTATATTTTATAAACGCAACATGAACAAAAAATATTTCAATCACCCTATACAATCACACCAAAAAAAAAAAAAAACTACCCTCCCCCACATTCACACTCTTACTCCACCACAACAAATATATTAAATAATTAAAGAGTGTGTGTGTGGTGTGAAATTAATAATATAAAAAATTAATTTAAGTTGAGGTTAGTTTTCAACAATACAAATAATTAAAATAATATTGTTTTTTTTTGTTGTTGTTATTGTTTTTTAATATAATAATAATTATTATTTAATAAATTATTAATATAAAATACATATAAAAAATTTAATTATTATTAATTATGTGGGAGACAGAGTGGATGTGTATTATTAATTAGTGTTTGAAAGAAATAGAAAGTGTGTTATGTGTGTGTTAGTAGTTGTGGTTGTGGGTAAAAGTGTGTGTTATATTTCACACATTATTTTTATTATTATTATTATTATTTAGTTTTTGATTAGGGTGAATATATATTTGACAAAGAAAAACAAAAAAATATCTATGTAAATCTGTATTTGCTGAGATTTTTAAATAATATTAAATTTTTTTTTTTTTTATTTTTTTTTTTAAAATATTTAAAAATAAAATTATACAGCATTTATTTTAATTATTTCAAACTGTGTATCAAATAAATAATATAATTAATAAACACACACAACATATTATTAAATAATTATTTTTTAAATTTTAAATTTATTTTATTTAATAACCAAATTTTTTTTTTTTTCCAATTTATTCATTTTATTTATTCATTTAAAAATATTTAATATTATATATATAAAAAAAAAATAATAATAACCATATATAAAAAAATAATATATATAAATATATATATAAATAATATATATTAATAGAAATAGTTTATTAATAGATTATTAATCATCTAATTTTTTTTAAATTAAAAAAAAATTTTATTGTATTTAAAAAACTCAAACTCACACACACATTTAATAAGAATATCACATAATTTAAATAATCATATAAAATAAAATGTATAATAATTGTAATAGTATTAATAATAATAATTGTGGTGATAAATTTTTAAATAATATATTTAGAAATGTTTATATAAATAAATTAATATTTTCGCATGTAAAGCAATTTAATAGAGTAGACAAGTTAACATCATTTAATAATAGAAAATTTTTTAATGGTGCAATTAATTATAATACTAGATTTAAAGAGTTTTCAGTTAAATCATTATTAGAATATGAAAATAGAGATTATATAAAGAACTTAACCATCAAATCAAATAATTATAAATCTAAACAAGAAACAATCTATCAAGACGATGACGATGACGAATTCTCAATCGAACAAGAAGATGAAGTAGATTATATAAATATTCCAGTTGGATTAATTCCAAGATTTGTTGAAAATTTAGAAATCGATAAAGAAGGTTTTGTTTTATACCCACAAGTTATTCCAGATTCAGTTAAAATATTGAAGCTCATCGGTAATCAAATGTTAATGCCAGGTTCCATTCCATCATCAGTCAAAACTTTAATAATTATAAATAGTAAACAAATGTTAGTACCTGGAGTCATTCCTTCATCAGTAGTAGATTTAAAGATTTTTTCATCCGACCAACCAATTCTTTTAAATTCAATTCCATCATCAGTAGAATACTTAGAGTATGAGAATAACCATCCAGTATTTGCTGGTATTTTACCATCATCCATCAAGAAGATTAAATTTGGACCATCATTTAATCAAGATTTAGTAAGAGGTTTCATTCCAAACTCTGTTGTTGAAATCGATTTCTCTCATTGTGTTGGAAAGTTTAATAAACCATTGATGCCAAATGTAATTCCATCATCTGTAAAGAAAATTTTTATGTCTAAAGACTTTAACCAACAATTAGTAAAGGGATCTTTACCATCTAGTTTAGAAGAGATCTATTTCTGTAGCTTTAACCAACCATTAACCATCGAATCAATCCCATATGGTGTTAAATTATTAGACCTTGGTTATGATTTTGACCAACCATTAGTACCAGGTTGTCTCCCATCATCAATCCTCGAATTAGGTATTTCCGTTCAATTTAACCAACCATTATTACCAGGATCTTTACCAAGTCAGCTCCAATCTATCGAATTTGGTTCAAAATTTAACCAACAAATACCACTCGATTGTCTCCCAAGTACACTCTCCTCTATCAAATTTGGTGATGACTTTAACCAACCCATCTTACCATTTTCTTTACCAGCCAATTTAATTTCCTTGGACTTAGGCTTCTCTTTCGATCACCCATTAGAAGCTAATGTTATTCCATCAAAATGTGAAGAATTGTATTTTAGCAACAACTACAACCAAAATTTTATTATTCCATCGACATGTACAATTGAATATTTAAATACCAATAACAATTAAACCAATTTAATTTATTATTTCAACCTCTTTTATTAACCACCCAACAACAAATCATTATATTTATTTATTTATTTAATATTATTTAATTTATTTATTTTAAAAAATCAATATTATCGACACAATTAATTTAAAAAAAAAAACAAAAAAAAAATTTAATAAAACTAAAATAATTGTATATTTTTTAAAAGTATAAATAAAATTAAATATTTTAATTTTATTTATATAGTTTTAATTAAAAAAGAAAAAAAAAAAAAAGTTTATTATTACTTTGTTTTTTAATTTTATTTTATTTAAATTAGACTACTGTGGAGATGTTCAACAAATTTGTGTAAATCACTCTTTGAGACTTCGATAATCGAGGTATCGAATGATTGGTATTTTAATATGGCATTTGTATATTCGGCAGATTTTCTAAAGTGGGCACCAAATTGACTGTTATTAAAAGAAAAATTAAAAATATTAATAGTCTATAATTTAAAATATTATTTGAATTTAACTTACTTTGATTGAATATCGGAACTATGTGAACCAGAAATACCAACAATTAAATAGGCTTGTTTTTTTTCATTTAAAGAACCAATTAAAAATGGTTTTCTAGCTTTACCCATTGCAATAAAAGCATCCATCATAAAAAGACCCAATTTTGTTAATGCTAATGGATGAATAAAATATTTTAATTCTGAACTTTCGGTAATAAATGCATATCTAAATGGACCCGAAAGAATAACACTTCTCTTTTCAATCATTGCTGCAACTTGTCTTGTGATTTCTTTTTGTAATTCAATTGATTGTTTTAAACCTATTTTTAATAAATCAATATTTTTACTAAAATAAAATAAAATATAAGTAAAATGAAATTTAATTTGGGTATAGGGTTTAACACTTACCTTGAGATCGAATCATATGCCTCCCAAAAATTTTGTTCCCAAATTTCTTCATCGGTTTGATCAATTTCTAAATTATCTGACTCCATTAATGCTGTGACAGCATAAACTGTATCTGATGCAGAGATTTCAGCATTGCATTGGTATTTCTTTAAAAATGAATTGAAATATAGATTGATAAGACCAAATTTTGGACCATTAAGAGCCAACAGCTGTTTAAGCGATTTCTTGTAATGAATATTCATTGAGACATATTTCTGCTTAACTTGATCCAAAGGAATACCCATCATCGCAAATAAAGAGTCCAATAAAAATTTGCCTTTTGATTTCCAAATTCTAAGTTTACATGCTACAAATCTAGAGTTATAAAGTGATTCATATAGGTTCCAGTGTCTGTACAACATAAATCTAAAATCATCGGTTGGAATAATTCTATCGCCTACAATTTGTTTGTTTTGTGGGGTGTCAAACTCTGTTTCTCCATCATCGTTTGGGAATTCATTTAAAATCAATTGTTTAAATTCTTTGTACTGCTCTTCATAAGACTCCAATGATATCTTTTCGTGGATAAGTTGATCTGTTAAACCCAATACTGAATACCATAATAAATCATCTAAATTTTGTTTTTGTAAAGTTGTACTAATCTTATACATTGACATTGCTGCACTTCTTCCATAATATGTTTTTTCTACCTTTTCCTTTTTCTTGTTTTTTTTATTGTTCCTATATTTTCTTTTATTCCTTTTTTTATTTTTGCTTTTTAAATTATTTTCATCTATTTCACTATTATTATCGTTATTGTTTTCTTTATCATTTTCATCATATTCATCATCGTCATCATCATCACCATCCTCTTCTTCTTCTTCTTCATCGTCATATTCATCGTCGTCCTCATCTTCTTCTTGTTGGTTTTTTAGTTGTTCATTATATGTACCATCATCTATAATTAATGCATTATGTGTATTGTTGATATTTTCGATGCTATATGGTCTGTGACTATCAAATATATATACGACTTGTTCTGCTGTTAAGTTTGAAAATACAGTTGTTATATCCAAGTTGCCACCACAATTAATCATTATAATCGATTTAATTTCTTCATTCTCTAAAAGTGAAATATCAACATTTTCTAAATCCTCTAATCCTGATACTGGTTTAATATTATATGAAATTGAATCTGATTTTAATATTTCCTATAAATAGTATTAGTAAGTTTTTAAATTAACTATTACTAATAGCGGTATAGTTTAGATTGTTATTATTTACAGTTAATATTTTACATGCCGAAATCGAGTCGCAATCCCTTGCCACTAATATCAATACTGATTCACCATGTAATGAATCATTCTTGATAATATCATAAATTTCTGAAAATTTATTATCACTTGTTAAAACCATTTTATTATTTATTATTTAATAATTTGAATAATAAAATCCAATAAAAATAAAACAAAAAATATATTTTGATAATTGTTAATAATATTATTAAAAAATAAAAAAAATAAAAAAATAATTTTTTAAATTTTTTAAATTTAAAAAAAAAAAAAATAGAAAATTTTTTAACCGCGCACTTATTTATTTTAAAACAACCACCTATTAATGTCATATTGTTTTTTTTAATTTCAGCATCTTTTTTAATAAATAATAAAAATGTTGTAAATATCTTTATTTAAAATTTTTAATTGTTTTTTAAAGTGGTATAGTATATATTATTTTAGAATTATTTTATTGTTATTAATTTTTTTTTAACCCCATCCTAATCATATAAATAAAAATAATTAATTACAATTATAATTTTTCATATTTTAAAAAAACAAAAAAATGAAAAATAATTTTATAGCTTTAGTTTTATTAATATTATTATTTTCAATTCAATTGGCATATTCCTTTGACCCAAAAAAATGTTCAATGTGTACTACCGCAGTAGATTTATTAAGACGTGTTGATAGCCCAGAGGATAGAGAAAACATTATCAAATATAGATTGTGTCTAAAGTTTAAAAAGGTATTTATAGCAATTACTTAATAATTTTTTAGAGGTATACCAGCAATTTAATAATTTTTTTTTTTTAGGATGAATGTGATTTATTTATAAAGGAATATGTGCCCACAATCACCAATTTAATGGATAAAGTTATTATTAATCAAATTTGCCCCCACATTAATTTATGTGCTCCAATTAATAGTTAATAGTATATAATAAAACAAAATAAAGAGTTTTAATTTTAAATTGGCAATTGTATTTTTTATTTAATTATTTTTTTAAATCATTAATGATTAAGCAACCAATGAATAACAATCTTTGGTTTATTGGGATGGGTGAAGATTGTTGAATCTCATAGAGAACTAATAATAAATAACAATTAAAAGATTAGTACAATATTTATTGATACATGCATTAAAATAAAATAAACTTACAGCTCTAAGTTCATCTCTAGTGATGACTTTGTCATTGTTTTTATCCATTGACTGGAAGAGATATTTGGTATTGAGTTCACAGTTTTTTTCACCGACTTCTGGGTCTTTTCTGAAAAAATCACAAACCTCATCCCAAGTGATTTTACCATCCTATTACGAAAAAAAAATTAGTTAACCTAAATAAGATATAAATTAAAATTTTGAGAACCTACTTTGTTTCCATCATATTCTTTTAACATGTTTTTAACATCTCTTTTAATAACACTTTCACACTTTTTGGCATAGATTTCTAATTTGTGATTTTGGACTTCAGCTAAGGAAATTTTTCTATCTTGGTTTTTATCCAAAGCTGAAAACATTGAAAATGCAGCAAAGTATGGATCTTTACAGTTTTTATTTTCCTTTAAACGTTCAACAACTTCATCCCATGTAATTTCTCCATCATTGTTTTTATCAAACTTAGACATCATGGCTTCCTACAAGTAAGAAAAAATTAAAATATTCAAATTGGTTAATGAATTATAATTTTGATTGTCATTATAAATTATTACTTACAATATCTTTTACAACATTTTCTGGAAGAGTAGACATTTTTTAATTTTTAATTTTTAATTGTTTTATAAAGTAATATTTTTTGATGAATGAATTGAAAGAAAAAAAAAAAGGTTTAAATTGTTTTTTTTTTTAAAAAATTAAATTAAAAAAAAATTAAAATTTTAATTAAAAAAAAAAAGAAGTTCAATATTTATTTTTAGTAAATCACTTTTTAATTTTCAAATAATATTTATTATAACACACTCCTATTTTGCAAAATATAACCCCTTACCAAATTAATTCACTATAATAGCATCATGATGATGTTTTTCTTTATCCTACAAAAAATTTTCAATTTAATATGAAAAAAAAACTTTTAATGGGGGTAAACAGTTTGTTTTTACTTTTTTAATTTTAAAACTGTTTTTTTTTTTGTTGGGGGAAAACAGTTTATTTTTACTTTTTTAATTTTTAAAATTTTTTTTTTTTTTTAAGTTTATTATTGATTTTTTTTATGGGGGAAATTATATTTTTAGACTCAATTTTTTTTTAATAATATTGTGAAAAATTAAATTATATTTTTAAAAAAAAGTTACTAACTATATAAAATCAATATGTAGGAGCATTAGTTTGGATCAATGTAGATCGATTGGTATTTGCTATCATCGTTCATGATGTTCTCTTCCAATTGATAAATAAATTAGTAGTGAATTGGAGAGGTTAATAACTTTGTATTGGTTTGATGGTTTTTATAATAAAGAAATTGTTTTTAATAATTTGTTGTGCAGTTGTGATTGGTGTTAGATCTTGAAGACTGGTGTTTTTGGCGTTACTTTTTCTATTTTGATTGATTTTTTTTGATTTTTAGAATATCCTCAACCGATTTTTTAGGAAATTCTAGGTTAAAAGAAAAACGATTGTTATTTTTCTCAAAGGCAGATAATGTAGTAAGAGGTGTTTTTAAAACCAATATTATAAAAATTTATATTTTATGATTTTGTCTGAAGTTTTTTTATAAACTTACAATAAATATGCCCAGATCTTAAAGTCTTTTTGTTAATATTCATATTTTATACAAATAAAAATAAAAATTTATGATCTATTTATAATTTTAACAAGAACAGTTATTAGATATTATAACAATTATTTTACTTTTATTTAATTTATAAAGGAAAATGTACTCATAATCACCAATTTTATGAATAAATTTATTATTAATCAAATTTTCCTTATATTAATCTATGTACTCAAATTAATAGTCAATAATATTTAGATAAAATAAAATAAAGAATTTTAAAATTTAACAATTGTATTTTTTATTTAATATCTTTTTTTAAATTATTAATGATTAAACAACCAATGAAAAACAAATCTTTTGTTTATTGAGATGGGTAAAGATTGTTGAATCTCATAGAGAACTAATAAAAAATAATAATTAAAATATTAGTAAAATATTTATTAATACATATAATAAAATAAAATAAAACTTACAGCTCTTAGTTCATCTTTAGTGATGACTTTGTCATTGTTTTTATCCATTGAACCGAAAAGATATCTGGTACTGTTTTCACAACCTTCTTCACCGACGTCTGGGTCTTTTCTGAAGACATCACAAACTTCATCCCAAGTGATTTTGCCATCCTATTACAAATAAAAGAAATTAGAGAACATAAAAAAGATATATAATAATTAAAATTTTGAGAACCTACTTTGTTTCCATCGTATTCTTTTAATACGTTTTTAATGTCTTTTTTAATAATGTTTTCACATTTTTTGGCATAGGTTTCCAATTTGTGATTTTGGACTTCAGTTAGAGAAATTTTTCTATCTTGGTTTTTATCCAAAGCTGTAAACATTGAAAATGCAGCAAAGTATGGATCTTTACAGTTTTTATTTTCCTTTAAACGTTCAACAACTTCATCCCATGAAAGTTCTCTATCATTGTTTTTATCAAACTTAGACATCATAGTTTCCTAAAAGAAAGAATAATATTAAAATTAGTAAATTTTATAATTATTTTTTATTATTTTAAAAACTATTATACTTACAACATCTTTTACAACAGATTCTGGAAGGGTAGACATTTTTTAATTTTTAATTTTTAATTATATTATAAACAATATATTTTGATGAATGAATTAAAATAAAAAAAAAAAGGTTTAAATTGTTTTTTTTTTAAAAAAAATAAATAAAAAAAAAATTAAAATTAATTAAATGAAAATAAATAAAAAAAAAGAAGTTCAATATTTATTTTTAGAAAATCACTTTACAAACTCCAAACAATGTTTTCATTATAATTTATTTTTCATTCTCCAAATTTGTAATAAAAATATAACCCCCTTACCAAATTAATTCACTTTTTTCTAATGGCATCATAATGATGTTTTATTATCTTACAATAAATTATAAATTTAATATGAAATTTATTTTATAATGGGGGAAAAGCAGTTTGTTTTTACTTTTTTAATTTTTTTAATTGAAAAAAACTGTTTTTTTTGAAGATGCTTTCTATTTTTTATGGGGGAAGTTTTATTTTTAGATGTGAGTTTTTTTTTGATTTTGTTTTTTTAAATAATAATTTTAAAAATAAATCATTTCTTTTTTATATGAAAAATACTGGCTAATCATAATAAAAAAGTTAACTTTTAAAAATTTATACATATTACAAAAAATTTATTATAAAAACAAAAAAGATTAAATTTTCTTAATTTATATGTATGAATTTGCATAAAATTTAAAAAATAATAAATCTTTGAGAATGAGATTTTGCAAAAAAAAAAAAAAATTTTGAGGGGTCTTGAAAAAAAAAAATTTTTTTTTTTTTTTTTTATATATAAAAAAAAAGAGATACATAAATTTTTAAAAGTGAATACAATTGCTTAAGACCTGGTTACCCACTAAATTTTTTTATTTTTATTTTATTTTTAATTCTAAAGTGCATATGAATACATTACAAAAGATATAATTCAAGCAAAAAACTTAATCCAAATAAATCACCTGGACCAGATGGTTCAATCAAGTGTCAATGTAGTAAAACCTTCCTATATAGTAATCGAAATTGATATTCCATCGGAATTCTTTAAAGTTGTACCTGTAGGCCCCAGTAGAAGTCATACATATCACCTTAATGCAATTGAACAAGGTTGGAATAAAGGCTTCTTTACTTTGAGTTTTTGTAAATATTTTCATTAATATCATCATATATTATAAAAACTCTTTATTAATTCATTTTTTTTAAAATAGGATAATAATTCAAAGAAATATAAATATTTAGAAGACCTAATTACATTCAAAAAAAGGTTTCAATAGAGTCACATGTTTCTTTAATTACATCAATTAAAAAAAAAAAAAAGAATTTTGTACTCTTAGTATTAATATTAGTTTAATTTAAAAATAAAAATTAAAATAATTTAAAAAAAAATAATATATAAAAAAAAAAATTATTTATTTTTATACTCTCTTGAGTTCTAAAATTATAGTTTATTTTCTTTTTCAATACGTTCTTTATCTATTCTTTCTCTTTTTTAGGTTGATGCTCTTTTAACCCTGTATAATTGTAAACTAAAGTGAAACATTTGATGAAAAATTAGGTTTGGTAGAACTATTTTTAAAATTTTCTCTGTGATGACATATTACTATTTTAGCCGAAATAAATTTTTATCCTAAAACAATTAAATGTCCAATGGATTGGCTATATGATAGTGGATCGAAAAATCAGGGCATATTTAACTATTAAACTATATACATCCTTTCTTCCATATAAGACTAATTGAGAGTTTATTGAATGGTTTTATGTGGAAGGATTATACCTGCAGAATATGTACTGATTGCTCTAAATAGTTTTTCTATATCTTCTATATTTGAATACTCGAGATATTTCTTTTTTGCTTCATAGGTAATCTTTGGGTAGTCTGCTCTGTTTGAATGAAACTTATCTAATGTCTCTTGAATATTACCGATATTTAATGTTTTTAAATGTAGTAGTATATAATTTGGTGGTGATTTTAATTCCTCTTTAATTAAATTTCTCTTTATTTAAATTTCTTAATGATGATGGTGGTGAAAGTGTTATATTACCATTATTAATTAAAAAGCTATTACTGTTTTTATTGTTGCAACCGCTACTACCGCTACTCATTTTGCTATCATTACTATTACAACTGCTTATACTACTACAACTTGCGCTTCGGGCTAAACTGGTACTATTATTATTTAGATTGCTATATTCACTTATACTACTATTTAAATTATAACTATTTTTTAAACTGAATGCTAATCCTACTGTTGTTGTATAATTATTATTATTACTATTGTTTAAACTGAATGATGATGATGATGATGAAGCTGATGTTGTGTTATTATTGATATTGATATTATAAGGTTCTATGATATTTACTCGATATTTTAATAGTAATTATAATGATTTAATTGATGATATTGAAAAACTTTTATTATTATTTGTGCAGTTTGGTAAAAATGTTGGTACATTCATTGATAGGAAATACTCCAATGCTTCTAAAATAAAAAAAAAAATTCAAAAAACTCAAAATTAATTTTTTTATTTTTTTTTTAATTTTTTTATAAATTATTTTTAATAACATATTTTTTTTTTTTTTTTTATCCCCCTTTTCCTATACAGAAATTAGGGATTTTAAAGGGTTATTTTTTTTAG